TTTGAGCTGCATTTTAAAAGAATAGGGATTCTCTAGGGTGAAGGGAGAGGGTATTCAAAGTATGTAGTATGGCTGCTCCTACTTTTCCAGTTTCCTTATACCTTATCCTTCCTATTCCTGCCCCTACCCAACCCCAGGCCCCAGACTGTGCAGTTCAGTGACTGACACTGGCCTCTTTGCTATTTCTTGAACATGACACTTTATTTTCCAACTCCAGGCATTTTCTATGGCTGTCCCCCATCTCTGTGATTCTCTCCTTCCTCACTCATCTCTGTCTCCTGCCCTCCCTGACTTCCTTCAAGTCCTGGCTAAAATCCCAACTTGTACTGGAAGCCTTTCCTGCTCTCTCTTAGTTCTAGTGCCTCCCCTCTGTTGATTATCTCCAATGTATCCTTTACATGGCCTGTTGGTTGGTCTCCCTGCAACAAGATCCTCCCAGCTCTAGTCCATCTTCCATTCCACTCAGCTGTCAAAGTGACTTTCTTAAAGCGCATGTATTGCATGTTCTTCCCTACTCAACAGAGGCAAGGCACTATAATAAGAAAGAGTGGGAAAGGCTTCCCACAGAATATGGGATTTTAGCTGGGACTTGAAGAAGCCAGAAGGAAGCTATGAACAGGAAGAGCATTCCATTCATGGAGGACAGCCACAGAAAAATCCTAGAGTCAGGAGATAGAGTGTCTTGTTTAGGGAACAGTGAGAAGGCCAGTGTCATTGAATGCATAGTGCATAGGTGGTTTTAAGAGGTATGAAGACCAGAAAGGTAAGGGTCAGGGCAGGTTATGAAGGGCTTTGAAAGCCCTTTGGTCCTAGAGGTGATCCAGAGCCACTGGAGTCTGTTGAGTTGGGGTTGGAGGTATATAACATGGTCAGACCTGTGTTTAGAAAGATCACTTTGATGGCTGAGTGGAGGATGGACTTATGATAGGTAGACCAACAAGCAGGCTATTGTAATAGCGTAGGCATAATCAGTCAATTAGTAAACAGTTATTAAGCTCCTACTATGTGCCAGGCATTGTGCTAAATGCTGGAGATACAAATACAAAATAGAAGGCCAGTACTTGCTTTCAAGGTGCTTACAATCTAATGGGTGAAGATAACATACAAAAGGAAGCTAAAAAGTGGGGATTTGAGGCAGGACAGGATATAAAGGAAAAGGCAGAGATGTGCCAAAGTTGTGTAAACAGGTGAGAAATGAGATATTCTGAGCTGAGCTCCTTCCTTAAATAAAGGTCTTGGAGTTCATGGCTCTATCCTGCAGTCAGGGGATTGGTGTAGTGATGCGGTCTGTGAGACGGTGTGAAGGAGGAGATAGTGGCAGAAGGCATGAGAGGTGATGTAAGATAAGGAGGGTAGGACAGCTTTCTTAAGGAATGGGGACCCTTGAGTATGTTTCAAGGCAGTAGGGCAAGAATCAGAAGATTAGGGAGAGCTTGAAGATTTGGGAGACAGAAAGTTATGATGATGAAACATGCAGTCTGCTGGAGAAGATGGAGTGGAATAAGATTAAGTGGTGGAGGGGTTGACTTAGGCAAGAAAGGGCCACCTCTTTGTCAGAGACTGGGGGAAAGGAGGAGAAAGGGAAATGGTATCAAGGCGTTTTGAGATTAACAGAGAGGGAGAAGAAGAAGCTCAAATGGCTTCAGTCTTCCTAGTAAAGAGGAATTTTCAGGGATAGATCTTACAACCAAGGATGCAGAGAAGTTGCATGATGCAAAACAGACAAATGCTTCCAGAAACACTTGGGATTCATTACGCATTTGATTCTTAATTAATTTTTGGTCACTGCGAGCTCAGAAACCTTTTACTGTTGCCAAAATTTTCACAACCCCACAGTTTAAGAAGATCTGATTATTATAGACAAATTTTGAGAAGTGGTGCTAAAGAGGGTTTGTCAGACCATTTGTTCTCTGTGAAGGCTCAGGGACCAGTCGCCTAATTTGGCTGGAATATAATATGCATTAAGAGTAATAATACAGAGTAAGTCTGGAAAGAGGGATTGGAGCTCAGTTAAAGAGGATTTGAAATACCAGGCCAAAGGAGTTTGTATTTTATTTGAGGCAATAAAAGCCACTGAAGATTTTTGAGCAGCTGAGTAACATGGTTAAGGCCTGTAATTGTTTTCTCAGTGTTGTGGAAGATGTACTGGAGAAGCCTAGATAGAGACTGGGAGCAGAGAGAGAAACTATTGTAATAGGAATAGTGCAGGTGAGAGGTGATGAGAATCATGTAAATCAGGCCTGCACAAGATATGACCTGTGGGCTGAAAAGGATTTGGGGTAGCCCAGGAAAAATGCAGGGTTGCCATGCATACTCGCTCCTGTTTGTCACGTGACTCACAGCAACTAACCATCATCAGTCTGTCTCTAGTCTAACCTATCTGCAGCTAGAAGAAGTTGAGCCTATTCTAATTTTAGCACCTACCTACTACCAAGGTATACAGGTTTGGTGTAAATGGATAGAAGAAAGGGATCTGAAAATAGATATCCTGCAGGTAGAACTGACAAGATCTGTCAACTGATTTGAGATGGGAAGAGAGAATAATGATGACCCTGAATTTGTGAACCTTTGTAATTGGAAAAGATAATAGTACCCTCGGTAAAAACAAGGACATTTGGAGGAGGGGTAGGTTTGAGGGGAAGATAATGAGTTCTATTTTTGGACATGTTGAATTTGAAATGATTACAACATAACCAGGTGGAAATGTCTAGCAAGCAGTTGGTGATATGGGACTGGAATTAAGGAAAGTTTAGAGCAAGAGTCCCTACTGAAATCTTACTGCTAATATGCATTTAAAAAATTAACTGATCATTATTATTTCAATTAATAGGGCAAAGCAACAGTAATTCTGATACCTGTGCTGAATTTTGAAAAAAATATATTGGTGACATTGAGAAACTGAAACTCATTGATGGGATTAGTCTTTAAGAGCCACTGGATCTAATAAATTACATAGATGTGGTGAAGGTAAAAAAAATGTGTGTATAAGAGACAGAACTTGTAATGAATATGGTCTTGACATCTCAACTCCTTGCTCTTATCTAATCTTAGATAATGAATTTTTGGCTGTGGGGAGTGTACTCTTGAAAGATCAGTAACATCTCAGTGCGCTAGATGGCACTGTTTCCGTGGGTTAAAATTATTAGTAGTTAATATTGATCAGTGCATGCTCTGCAGTGTTTTTTTTTTTTCCGGTAAAATTATAAATCTTGACATGGTCAGTGTGGGAATAAGAGTTTTTGTTTTCTTTTTCAGTTGGATAGGAAAGAGGAGTAAGAGAAAATAAATGCTTAATTTAAAAACTTACAATTAAAAATAAATTTACTCATCTTGGTAATTGATCACAATTCACATTTCTTGAAAACTTAGCTATAATGCTATTGACATAGATTTTGGTGGAAGTGAATGAGGAACAAGAGAGATTAATATGTGCAAGTGGTAAAGTAAATGTTTCTTATTAATCTATAGAAATTGAGTCAATCTGTCATTTTAATTGGAAAAGATACTTCTGATGATTTCCTTAGCCATTCATTTCCATATTGACCAACTTACTTTATATAACATTGTTTCTCCAATAATTTTAATTATGGGTAGTGGGCTGATATTTTTTGTATATTAATATTTTCCTATTTTTAATTATATGATTTATATATTAACATTTTATGTCCTTATAAAATTATTAGTATTAAGTTGTGATGATAGAGTTAATTCTGTGGGGTTAAAATTAGTTGTATCTAGTATGGTAGTAGAAGTGTCATTTAATCTGAGCTATAAGTCGTTCTTCCGAAACTAAGTACAGAACACTAATAATGCAGCTACAGCAATAATTCTAGGAAATGGTTTGTATTTGTATAGCAGTATGCCAAAGCAGGATAATTAAGGCCCCAGCTTGAGAGTATTGCCTACATACTGTAATAGGATTTTTCATCATTTAAAAAACTAAAGTACACATTCTAAATTGCTCATATCAGTGTAAATTTTACTCCTAGCCTTCCTGTTCCTATAGTGTTACTTAAAATATCATTAGTAACATAGTTTTAAAAAGATATTTTCCTCTAGTCTGCTTTTTAAAAGTTACTGTATTATATAAAAACACAAAAGAATTTTGGTGACTAAGAAATCAGACATCTGTTGTAATCAAATTTTCTTTTGTGTGAACCCTACCAACCTCCTGGGGACATCTAATTTCTGTGAAACGTTGAAACCAAGAAGTGAAATCCGTGTATATGACTGTCTTAGCTAATTTTTCAGCAACCCTGGTTGCCAAGCAGTCCAGCCTTGGCCATCAATCATTATAGAAGTTTCCTCAAATAATTGCACCCAATTATTATAGAAAAGACAATTAAACATTGTCCCAGTTTAACAGATAAGTCTGGGGAAAAGATGATCAAAATAAGATAAAAAGTTACTGTCTTGTTTCTGATAAATTAAAACAAAGAACTGGTGAATATGTGTTTGAAAAAGTAAATTGGGGGAAAAAAATCACTTTTTTCAGGTGAACAATCTGCCAACCTACCAGAACAGCCAGGTAGCTTTGGTATAACTGAATATATTTGATGTGCAGAATATTATTTAAAGAAATTTATATAACCTTGCTGTGGACATGAGGCAAAGTTTGACGATACTTCCGGATTATTTCATTTGCTAATCATAGGCTTTGTGCATTACTTTTAGAAAGGTTTTTTTTTCTACCAGACCAAAAAATTAATAAACCATTAAATCCACCAGGTTCCATGAGGATGAGTCAGTTATAATTAGCATAACAGAACAACAAAAACATTTAATTGTAAAATGAGTAAGATTTTTGCTTCACAAGGAACTCTTCCTAAGTCTACCATACATCATCCTGCATTCTCTGGGATTTGGATGTTAGACTATTTTGTAATGGTCACATAAGCACTAGACAGAGGGATGGAAGCTTAGAGGCTGTGACTGGACTTTTCATGTAGAACTTTGGTGGTGACTATTTTTCTTTTTTGTTTTTCCTTTGGACTTCAAAGCAAGATGGAAAGTTACCATTTGTTCCTCTGGAGGAGGAGTTTATTATGGGAGTTTCTAAATATGGCATTAAAGTATCAACATCTGATCAATATGTAAGTTTATCATGTCTTTTAAATATAATTTGGAAAGAAAAAAGATCATTAGTGATTTAATATTCTCAAATTACCAGAGACCTTGTTGTGTTTAGATAGATGCCCCATCATTCATTCAACAAACATTTGGCCAACACCTACACTGAATAGGACTCTATCTGACAGCAGGGAAATATTTCCCTGGATCTGTGTACTCAGTCTGTGAGTCTTGTACCCCTTCAAGGGCCATGGAGTCATTACAAGGGATCACTGTGTCCACACGCAAATGAGCCACCTGATCTAACTCCTCAGTACATACCTTCTGCTGACTCAAGGTTTCACACAGATATGTTTCTGTATAGTATTACTGGGGTTTTTTTTATATGCTACTATCATTAATAAAATATGAAACATTAACAAAGTCATGGTAGGTTTTTGTCAGTTTCTGAATTGCTAGAAACTAAAAAATAGCACAATTATAAGTATGTTAAGGACCATGAAATTTGTTTTTAGTTAGAAGAATGTTTTCTCCCTGAAAATATTGATTTTATTGGCTTAAATAATGCACAGTCACTGCCCCTTTGGCGCTTAAAGTCTAGTGAGGGGGACAAAACATACGAATCTCATATTGCTGTTAGAAGTGCATTAAAGAGGTGCAAAGGAAAGTGCTCTGGTAGGAAGGTCTAAGGGAGACGATGTTTGTTAAAACTAAGCAAGCACATCAGGGAAAGTTTTATCTTCTTGTCTGATTCCCTTGGAGGAGTTAGTGGGAGGGGCCCATTCTGTAGGTAGAGGTGACTAGTTCATATCAGCAGCTGCAATCACAGGAATCCTTGAAGCTGTTTTACCAAGATAAGAGATAAGATTCCCCCTTTAATAGGGAAGGAACCTTTTAGGATGGTATTTTATTATTATTATCAATATACATTGGAAAGTAAAGTTAGATTGACTTCCTTTCACAGAGCCCAAGTTAGGGATGTGATATATTAAAAAGTACTCTTTAAAGTGGACTACAGAGGCTGACTTAGCAGAGGGCTCTCTATTTTAAGGCTTTTAAAAGCATTAGGTTATTACGTGACCATCTTTGGCCAAATTTGTGAATATTATATTGAGAGACTTCTGTGAGAAGCTTAGTTGTACTAGTATGTGTGTCTCCCCAGAACCAGAACCAGCATTTATAATAGCTATGATCATCCTGGATTTTCCCCTCATTTCTGTAGGATGTTTTACACAGACATGCTCTGTATTTAATCATCCGGATGGTGTGTTATGATGATGGTCTAGGAGCAGGAAAAAGCTTACTGGCACTAAAGACCACGGATGCAAGCTATGAAGAGTGTAGTCTATGGGTGTATCAGTGTAACAGTCTGGTAAGGTTTTGGCCTCTTTCATTTCTCCCCATTCCCCACCCCTGCCCCCAATTGTTAACTAGCTAATCTAAACCAAGAATCAAAACTAGGAAACTCTGATTAGTTTTTCAAGGCCTGGGATGATAACATAATTCTGGAGGCTGAGAACCTTTGGGAAAAGTATCATATTAAGTCATAATCCACAGGAAATATTTTTAAAAACCAGTGAATGCTGCTTTTAGTAACGTTACTTTTTTCTTTTTATTTTACATAATATAGGAACAAGCACAAGCTATTTGCAAAGTTTTAGCCACAGCTTTTGACTCTGTATTAACATCAGAGAAATCATGAGCTCCTGCTAGAGTGGAAGATAAATGACTTCAGCTGAAAGAAGCCAGCATTCAGGATGAAACAGGAACTTTTATCTCCAATAAGGAATAAAGAACCCTCATTCCAGTTTCATAAAGAAGAAAATGCATTTTAAAAATATAGATCATTTCAACCCTGCAAAAGTAAAATTTTCTAAATTCTCCCAAGCATTTCTGAAACCCAGTTAAGTGTTATGACTGTCAATGAAGTGAACTTTCTGCTTGGATTATAAAAAGCTTGCATGCCAAATTTGACCCCCTCTTAGCTTACCTAGCTTAGCACCAGAAAGTGTTGTGTGTAAAAACATTTTAATGTATAATAAACATTGCAACTTAATTTACCTTGTGAACGCTGAATGTATTCTAGAGCCATCTGCTATTGAAGTGATATGATGAAGGGGGGGGCAGGGTAGAGTATTAGTTTAATCAAAAGACTTGGGTTCTCCTGCCTTGGCCTTGTGGCCTATGGATTGCTGAGGAAGGCAAAGCCTGGATGTTGGGTCCCTCCTGGATTCTTGGCTTTGCCCCGACTGCCACAGTGGGGTTGGGCAGACTCCTTTCTAGACTTTTAATTGCACCTAGTTTAGGCCCCTTACTAAAGGTGCCTGTTGATAGCACTTCAACATACTAGGCTATCTTTTCAACATATCTAATAATAAAGGTTACACACAGGAGCACATTTAAGAAAAATAAGTCAGTTTAAAAGTATTTTATTTTTTTCCAGCCAAATGACTGGTTAACAAGAGTAAACTTCTGAAACATGCTCTAATTATAAATCACTGCATTCGGGACATTGAAAATAAGAGTTGATTTAGGTTATACAATATATACAGTTGCTCTGCAACTACACCAAAATAATCAAATGAATGAACTGAATATTATACATCTCAAATAGGATTCTACGCTGCAGATTCGGTGTCATCCACTCCTTTTGAAACAGTTAACACAGCAACCAAATAGACTGTGCATAAAATTTCAGAATCGGCATCCCTTGAAGTTTGCTTTGATGAAGAATGGCAAATGCAAAATGCCAGAATCTTGCAGCTGAAATTTATGAAAAGTAAACTTTAAATATAAATAGATATCTACAATGCATTCAGATTTATCTCTGCCTGCCTTTTTTGCTGCAAAAAGGAGCAAATACCTCAAAGGATGCTAGTGGGCAAAGTATTTAAAATGTATTTCTGCTCTGGCAAGAGGAATAATATTAGTTACCTGCACAATAGCACCACCAAATTAGATCTTAAAAAAATGCCAAGATGTATCCCAGACATGTACCACTGAACCTGACTGAGTAGTGTCTGGGACCAGAATCCAAAGGCTTAAATTTGACTTTACTTCACAGCTGACACCAAATCATCCAAACTGCAAGTTTCATATGCTAGGAGAATCTGTTTAAAAAAAAAAAAAGACAGGAGAAGTGAACTGTGCAAAATAGGGGCTGCTTACTTCCTTGCATCTTACCAGGGAATTAAAATGTTTCCAAAACCAAAAACGGAAATCATCAATAAACACAAATGTAGTGCTAAACTAAGTCTAGAATTATAGATTTAATCTTTTTTTTTTAACTGCGAACTTTGGAAAGTATAAAGAAATCTACTTCAAAACTCAACAAAAACATTGTAATACATTCCAGTTTGTTGTTTTTTTTTTTCACTTTCTCAGTGGCTTCAGAAATGAGTTAATACATCAAGAAGCTATACACACAAGCTTTTCACATGATAAAGACTGGCTATCACAATTAAGTGTACCATTGTTAAAAAAAATAAAATCATTAACAACTTGTCCTAGCATTAGTTTAAAGATTCCTATGTCTGTAAGATACGGTGGACACTGTCTTACAAATTTTACCTTAAAGCTTCAACATTCTCACGTCAGGTATCCATGCTATGGAACTCATATATACCACCAGCAGATAGTCAAGTTCATGTAACCAAGTTTTAGTTAGGCTTTTCTCAACATATGCTAGTCTTCATTACTGTTTTTTTTTTTTATAGCATAAGTTTAAGAAAGGTACAATAGACTCAATATTCAAATAGATGTGAGAATTTCAATGTTATGTAGTGTTACACCCATCCACTGGGATCTATGGATATTTGCTAGATATTTGTTCACAGACAAATGAACAGAATCATTTTTATGACATTGTTAACTACTGTTCATACTGGTATATTATATAAATACATATACATTCAGCTGAGTTAGGAAACAAGCACACTGTCGTGTTTAGAAGGAGAGGCAGTGGTACACTTAACAGGAAACAGCAATTAAGATGTACTAACTAGTGAGCTTTTCAATAAATGCCCTTGTGATTCAGGATAAATACAGTACGGTCCACCACAATATTCTATTTGTGTGTACAGGTGTTACTGGGTGATTAAATAAGTTCAAGAAGGCAAAATCTAAAACATCTAAAGCACATAACTGGTTTTAAGAACTGCTTTGCAATCCATCATCCTTAGTTTAAAACCAAATTCAGGAAATGCAGTTTTTATAACCTCCTAGAGTTGAATCAACTGATAATATTGTCATGGATTTGAAGTAACCATCAGCAGTCTGGTGAATACAATTGTTCAGGATCACATTACATAAAGGACTTCCAAAACAGGTTATACACACATGCAGCATCTAATAATGATAACAGAGATTCTCAACCTCACAAATTAGAAAGTACAAACAGGTAACGGAGAAGTTTCCAAGTTGCTTTAAATGTGTGCACATGGTAGATTTCAAAGGAATAAATATCCTTTAAAGGTGAACTCAGGACCTTCTATCTGGAATGACCTTAGCTTAGGAAGGCTGGTATCTGGAGCAATAGTGAATGCAATTATTGGGTTCCCTAAAACAACTGAGACAGCTGCTCTGAAATTCACTGACTTTAATATAAGCACGTGAAAACTTACAACTTCCAAATCAAGCCATGACAAGTCAAGAGGGATTTATTTCCAAACCTCATGTTTCAAAATAAAGATCTTTATGTTAAGCTGGTATACTGAATTCTGCTGGCTTGGGTTCAGAGATACTCATTAACAATTTTTTTTTTCACTTCACCTTTAAAAATAAAAATGCAAAAATGTATCTTTGAGAAAGAATATCAACGACTGTTTCATGAAGAAAACACAACTTATCTAAAAATCATTTACATATGAAAATTGTGTCCAGGGTTTGAAACCAGAACAATGACATTAGAGAAGGTTGACTACAATACAAATACAACTCAAGAATCTGGTTTTCTGGCAAGAGTTTTGGAAACAGTAGTGAAACTGGGACTTAAATGTTGACTTGCTTAAGATCAAAATGATAAATTTCATTCTATTTTTTGTTCAGTAGCAATTCAGTCAGCAATAAAGTGCACAAATGATACAGGAAAAGCTCCTTTGCGACTAGGATCTCCATCAATGTGGCCAATCTGAAATGAAAAATTAAAAAAAAATTCCATGTTAAGAGAGCATCAAAGTAGTTAAGCAAACATTTGTTCTGGGATCCAGTACCAGAAATGAGGACCTGGCAAAGATCACTAATCTATCACAGCCCAACTCTAAATAACTGGGTGATGTGTTCTATTGAGATGCAGCTCATATATTCATAGTAAGTGGAAGAGAATTTATATCCACAGAAGACCCAACTTTACTCACTTTTTTTCCTCTCTGGAAAATGGGATATAAATATAGGGACAAATCTCAGGCCCTTTGGTATTTTTCACTACCTCCAACTGAGTCAAGACCTCAGTAGCTTTTTATAGAAATAAAAGTGAAGCAGATTTACATGGATTTACCAGGAAGGACTCTTCTAGATATTATACATAAGCTTTTGCTTTTTCAAAAGGTAATCTTTTTTGAAGATTGACAACTTCAACTGATGAATTGATGACAAGTAAACATATACCTTTACCAAATTTCTTACCTCATTCCCATCTGTAATAAGTCACTCACATGTCTCTAGCATGAATAGTTTGCAAATCTCTTTCCTTACAACAATTTTGAGAGGTTGGTAGTATTTATAAGGCACTTAGGCCAAGAAAGAGCTGATAACATATGGAAGGTTCCATTTGAGTAAAATGCTGTCCCCTGATTAGCAAAGGTAATTAATATTACCAATTCATTTACTTAAAAATAGCTATCACTACGCAGGCCCAATAGAGGAAATGTGGTACAGCTGCCAATACAGATGTTGAGGTCAGAGGATTTAGGTTCAACCTAGCTTTGGCATTTATCTCCTCAGTGTGACTTTAGGCCAAGCACTTAATTTCTCAGTTTACAGAGTGTAAAATTTAAAGACTAGATTATCTCTAATGTCTTTTTAGCTCTAAATGTCTGATCCTATCAAGTTCAGTGTGTAACTACTACCCATACTACAGATGACTGATGGATGGGGAAAACTGAATAGGAGATAAACAAGCTATAGTTAGCCAGTACTTCTCAACTGCCATCTATGTGATATTCACTTTCCATCTTTCAGAGATTGTTTTATTCCTTGTTTTGCTACCATATAGCATCTGGTGCTAAAAGATTGACCCCTTTTTTTCTGAGAAGATTTGGGGGGTTAGTAAAGAATTTCCTAAAGGGATGCCAGTCCACCTTTCCTTTTCCTATCAGCTTTAGGCCCAGGTCATACACTTGCACTTTCTAACCCAGACATACATACTTATTGGACATTCTCTACAAACTGTCCTTCCAAATTAATGTAATAAGCCAACCTTTACAATAGACATCCACCTGGGCTTCCTGTGTGGATGGTCAGGCCAAACTGCTGAGTGGTTATAGATCTCTTCAAGGAGCTCTGCAATGCTCTGGGGCTTCAGTTGAAAATCAGTATCACACAGAGTGAAAAGGAGAGGCTTACGGTATGTAGGAGCTAAATGTATCATCTTACCAATGAGGGACTTTGAAGAACAACCAGAGTAAAAGATGTCATCAAAGAAATGCATGATAAGAAGAGAAGATGGGCTGATCATGAAGCAAGGGTGAAGGATGACAAATGGACAGCCTAAGTACTCTACTGGTATCATTATGGTGTCTAGAGAAACTGAGGCAGGACTCCACCATGGTACGTGGACTCTCTATGGTAAACTCTCAGGCGGACATGGACAAAGATTTCACAGGTTGCATGGGCTTAGGTGAATTGTCATCAGTGTCACTGGAGAGAACTTCCAATCAACAAGATCACCGACCTAACTGAGTATGTGAGTTGGCTGGCAAGTCATTTCCCTTTTCTGGGCCTCAGTTTTCACCTGTATAAAACAAGGGGCTTGCTTAATGTTTTTGTTCCATGGACACCTCTGGCAGTTTGGTAGAGCCTATGGACCCTTTCTTAGAAAAACGTTTTTAAATACTTGAAGGAAATGCTAAATTTCAGCTAGAGGTCAGTGAAAATAAAGATGTGATTTTTTTTGCCCTGAACAAATCCATGGACCCCCTGAAGGACCCTAGATCAAGAACCCCTGGACTAGATGGTCTTGAGGTCCCTTCTGGCTCCAAGCCTTATGACCTTAATATAGTGTGGCAGGTAGGACAGTGCAAACCTGACACCATTACTTACTAGCCTGGTGTGAGGCATTTGACTTTCCCAAGACTTAACTTTCTCATCTGAAAAATAAAGTGGATTATATTTGCACTACTTACCTCACAGGGTTGTTACAAGAGGAAGCACTTTGCAAACCTTAAGCCACCATGTCAATGTGCAGAATTTATTATGATTATCATTACCTAACATAGCAATCCGGCTATGAAAAGAGAACATTTCACATAAGCATGTGCTGCTAATCCAAGTCCACACTTAAGAGTCTCTGAGGACACAAGAATTAAAGGTTAAAGCCTGAAGGTCTTTAGGGACCTCAGCTTATGTTTCTGTCAAGTGTGCAATGGTGAACACAAGATGGGAGAAAAACCTCCCAGTGCCTGGTAATCCTTAGCACATGCAACTCTTCAGAATTGGCCTGCTTTTTACTTGGTGTCAAGGGGAAGACTCACTGCGGATCAAGCAAGAAAACAGAAAGCTCAAGTGCAGATTTAAATTGGCAGGCACTTGAAGTAGTTAATGAGGCCAGGAGGGAGGCATCACGGCCTTTGTGTTTCAAGGAGGCATTAACCGCCAGGGTCGTGGACATGCATTTGTCAGATTAGTCCTCCACAGTGGACAAAGGAGGAGGGAAATGAAATCAAATTGATTCAGGCTTATTAGCAGACCCTTCTGGCTCATACAGGAAAAGTAAGGATCAGTGGGTCAATACACCAACGCTCAGAGGCCGTGGGGTGTTCAGTTCGAGCCTCCCCCAAACAACTTCTGTTCTCTGTACTCACCCACCACTCTTGGTCCTCCTCACCATCCACGATGATCATATCCCCTTCTGAAAATGTCAGCTCATCAGGGTTATCTGCCACACAGTTGTAGAGAGCTTTTACTCTTTTGGGTTTGGTCTTTGTCTGGAATATTTAAAGAATAAAAAATTCAGTAAGTCATTATGATGAAGCCAGTGAATGGCAACTGCTCTCTATTTAGGATGGTAAAAGGGAAAAATTCATCTTTTAGGGCAGTTTTCTGGATGTCTCCTTTTTTACACATCCACAGAGCAGGGGACTTTATTTTTTAAAAAATTTAAGTTTTTACATAATTTTCTAACAACCATTACCCCAAGGAATCCTCCTTTATAACAAAGAAAAACAAGTAAGCACCACCACCGATGACCCATTTCCTCAGAGTCTGGTTTTGTTTTTTGTTTTGGATTTGTTTTAGTGTTCTTATAGTTTATATATTGTTCTCTTGATTGTTTACTTCACTCAGCATCCATTGGCATGTCTTCCCATGATTCACTGGACTCCTCATATTTGTCATTTCTTTCTAACTTTTTGTGGTATTCTTTTTTTTTTAAACCATTCACTTTTTAATTTTGAGTTCCAAATTCCTGTAGAACTCTCCAGACCCCTCCCTCCCCATGCTCCCAGCCACTGAGAAGGCAAGCAATATCATACCCGCTATACATATGAAGTCATGTAAAACATATTTCCATATTGGAAAGGAAGGAAGGAAGGAAGGAAGGAAGGAAGGAAGAGAAAGGCAAAAAAAAAAGCTTTAATCTGCATTTGGAGTTCATAGGTTTTTTCTCTGGAGGAAGATAGCATTTTTCATCATCAGTCCCTTTGGAATTGTTGTGGATCACTGTATTGCTAAATTGCTAAATCTTTCACAACTGATCATTGTCACAATATTGCTGTTTACTGTGAACAATGTTCTCCTGGTTCTGCTCACTTCACTTTCCGTGAGTTCATACAGATCTTCCCAGGTTTTTCTGAAAACATTCCCTTCATATTTTTTTTTAACAGCACAACAGTATTCTATCACTATCATATACCACAACTTGTTCAGCTATTCCCCAATTTTTGGGCATCCCCTCAACTTCCTATTCTTTGCCAATATTTGTCATTTCAGGGGAGCAATAGAAAGCATTACCCCTCCTAGAATCACAGACTTTAGATCTGAAAGGAACCTCAGAGATCACCTTATCTGAGGCTGAGAAAAATTAAGACTTGCCTAAAGCTAGCAGATGAGTGATTATTCTCTTCCTGTAATAATAGGGTCACAACTACTCTGCAGTCAAAATTCTTTCACCCACCTGGGAAAAACAAGAAAGAAGCCCTATCACTTTGGCATCACTTCCACTATTAAGTGTTCTCATATACACACCTTTCCTTTCTATGAAAGAGAGAAATCTGAAAGTGAAAGTGAATGCTCCCTTCATTTCTAACACACTCTCCCTTGTAATATATTTGTCTGTGTGCTTGCATGCTCTTCTTCCTCTTTTCTACCTCCCCTCCACCCGCATAAAATGTAAGCTCCTTACGGCCGGAAAGTTAAACTTTTTTTCATCTAGTCCAATTGCCTCATTTCATTTATAAGGTAATGAAGCCTAGAAGAGGTAACACCAACAGTAAGAAGCAGAACGATGACTATGGGACTATGTGAGGCAGCATGCTTCAGGGGACAGAGTACTGGCTCTGAAATCTGAGTTCAAATCCTACTTCTAATGCTTAATATCTGCTAATGCTTAATGACCTTAAGACAAGTCACATAACATTCCTGCATCTCAGTTTCCTCGTCTGTAAAACAACGGGGTTGAATCAGATGGCTTCTGAGATCCCTTCTAGCTCTAAAACACTGATCTCAAAATCTGAACTCAGGTCTTTTAACACCAAGTTTTTTCTATTATATTATGCTCCTTTCTTTCCTCTTCATTCATAAGAAACATTCTGTAAGTGATCTGATGATAGGTTGGAGGGTTAACCTGGCTTAAATTTTTTTAAACAATTAAATATTTTATTTTCAGTCCCATATTTTTCTCTCCTTCAATTCCCCTCCTGCATCCTATGAGATGGCAAGAAATATGAATTATACATATGAAGTCATACAAAATATACTTCCACATTAGCCATGTTGCAAGAAAAAAAAAGCTAGAAAAGAAAAGAAAGTGAAAAAAATATGTTTCATCCTACTCTCAGAGTTCATTAGTTTTCTCTGGAGGTGGACAGAATTTTTCATTATGAGTCCTTTGGAAGTATTGTGGATCACTGTATTGCTAAGAGTATTTAAGTCTTTCACCGTTGATTATTATTACAATGTTACTGTTACTGTGTACAGTATTCTAGTTCTGCTCCCTTCACTTTGCATCAGCTCATACGTGGTCCTCCCATAACCTGGCTTAATTTGATGATGATCATCATCATCACTGCTGGAGAGTAGCTGGTTTTTCTCAACCTCACTGCTAACTCTGGAAAACTACTGCCTCCTTTGCCTCTGAAAGCTGGACCAAGCGGCCTCTGAGCTCCCTTCCAGCTCTAGAACTTTGGACGTCTCCACTCTTCTCTTCCTCCCTTTTATGTGACCTTGACTTCTGTTTTACTGAGAAGTCTAAAGCCACATGATATGAACTCAATTAACTTCCTTCATCCACCTCCTTAAACCTCGGGACCCACATTTGAATTTTTAATTTCAGTCTGAGAGGATGAGGTGCCTGTCCTATTAGGGACAGCTAATCTTTATACTTGTGCATCTTTGATCTCATGATCTCCAGTCTCCTGAATGACTATATTCCATCAATGGTTTCTCCTCCCTCTCTCCTGAATTTTCAGTATTTCCCTGTCTTTTGGAGCCTATGAATATGCTGAAAGCATGAGGATCATACAAACATGCTCAAGTCTCCCACACTTGAAAAGAACTTTCCTATGATCCTGCCCACTGGAATTTACTGAGTAGGGGAGGTGGCGTGGTCAGACCTATGCTTCACCTGAGTGGAGAATGGATTGGCACAGACACTTGGAGCAAGAAGACCAATTAGCATAATCCAGGCATGAGGTGATGAGGGCCTGCACCAGAACAGTGTCAATGTTAGAGAAGAGAAGGGCCACATACAAGGGACGTGAGGGGAGACATGACTTGACAACAGACTGGATCTATGGGGTGAGTTCAAATGAAGAGTCTAAGATGACACCAAAGCTGTGAGCTTAGGTGATAAGGAGGATGGTAGAACCATCAACAGCAATGGAGAAGTTCTGAAGAGAAAGGTGAATCTGAGGGGAAAGATAATGAAGTCTGTTTTGAACATGCTGGATTTGAGACATCCAGTAAATAATGTCAAGTAGGCAGCTGGTGATGTGGGTGTGGAGCTCAGGAGAGAAATTTGAGCTGGATATGTAGATCTGGGAATTATCTACAGAGATGATCACTGAGCCCATGGGAACAGATGGAAATCCACAAGTGGGACAGTATAGAGAGAAAAAAGAGTCCAGGACAGACACCCAGAGTCAGCGGGCATGGCATGGGTGAAGTTTCAGCAAAAGTGGCTGAAAAGAAGCTGTCAGACAGGTAGGAGGAAAACCAAGAGAAAGTAGTCATGGAAACCTAGAAAGGAGAGAGTATCCAGGAGGAGAAAGTGATCAACATGTCAGAGGCTGCAGAAAGGTCAGGAAGGATGAAAGATGAAGAAAAGCCATTAGATTTGGTAACTTTGGAGAGAGCAGTTTCAGTTGAATGAGGTGAGGAGCCGGATTTTCAGAGGGTTTAAAAGAAGGACTGAGTAGAGACAGCTTTTTAAAGGTATTTATCTAAGAAGGGGAAAAGAAATATAGAACAATAGCTGATGGGGATGGAAGGGTCAAGTGAGGGTTTTTTAAGGATGAGAGCCTTGAGTATAGGCAGAGATTGTGGGAGATAAGTCAGAGTTGTTTAAGATGATATATGATATAAGAGAAATGGACAAGAGGAAGCTCTTAGTGAACGGCCTTAATTTTTTTTTGGTGTAGACTGAGGCAAGGTCCTCAGACGAGACAGTAAGGGAATTTATACCATGAGATGCTTGAGAAAGGAGGTTTGCAACATCCACAGTGGAATAAAGAATCAATTAAGGAAGATTAGAAAGATTACCTTGATGTAGTGAAGGCCCACTTGGGATTAGATAACATAAATTTGTAGTGGACCCTTTATAAGCTGACTTATTCTAGCTGCATTCAGCTCCACATGATTAGAAGCAAAAGAGGTGGACCAAAGGAGTAATCTAGGCTTGGGGTTTGGTAAGGACTGGCAGTAAGACAAGGGATGGTCATGAAGCAGATGAGAAGAAAGCTAGTATAGAGCCGAACTCTGGCTCACTAGGAGGCTGTGACTGCACAGATTATAATGTTATATAGTTAATGGCCTGACAAAGTTGTTCATCCTTTGTACTTCAGAGAAGACCAATGACATCATGACATTGGGGTCAAGGCACAATATGCTGGACTGTGGCCGATCAGTCCAACATGAGTTTGGAAGGCTCTACACCAGTCAGGCACACATAGTCCATTTGAACATTTACAATGGAGTTGTCTCTAGAGCTGCACATCCCACGTTTCCTTTGTGCTACTAAGATTCTGCTTTGCTCGAAGGGCACAGTGCCTTTTTTCGATGTGGGCACACTATACTGGGTAGTCCTGTGCCAGTGTCTCCCATGGCTCACAATCGATATAAAGTTCTTCAGAGAGACCTTAAGACTGTCCTTGTACCACTTCTTCTGCCATCTGTAGGAATGCTTGCCTTGTGCAAGTTCTCTGTAAAAGCCTACAGATCTGCTGTGCTGACTTCACTGTTATATGCCCATGAAACCTGGACAGTCTATCAGCACCATGCCAGAAAATTGAACTGCTTCCATTTTAATTGTCTCAGGAAGATCCTGATGATTCCCTGGCAAAGATAAAGTACCAGACACTGAGGTCCTCTCTCAGGCTGAACTGCCAAGCATTCAAACTGTACTGCAGAGAGTACAGCTCTGATGGGCTGGCCATGTAGCCCAAATACCAAACACACTTATCTAAAAGACCATTTTATGACAAACTCAAACCACGCAAGCACTCACATGGAGGTCGGCCTGAGAAAGTACAGAAGGCTGGAAGGACTGGAGGGCACAATGAGGAAGAACAACAGGATTAGTGATAAGATGACATAGGGAAAGACTGAATGATATAAGATTTGATCAGAAAAAAGAAAATTTGAGGTTTATGAACCTGGAAGCAGAACATTTTCAGGTGACAGCAAGATCAAAGGTATGCCCACTTCTGTGTGAACCTCGAGTGGAGTGGAGGTTAGGTCATGGAAACTGAATAAATTGAGGAACCGGGAAGTTAGGGTATTAGAGAAAACATCAATACACATGCTAAAGTCTTCTGGTATGAAAGTGGGAGTTGAGGGAGAGAGGAAGACATTGTGCCAGATACTAGGCTCACTGAGGAAAGAGGGAGAGTGTTAGAACCTCTTCAAACAGAGAAGTAAGATTGAAAGTGGCTAATGAACAAATAGGAAGTGGTAGTAGTGAATGCAGGATCACAGTGTAAGGGGATAGCAAATAATCCATCAATAAACATTGATTAAGCACCTACAATGTGCCAGGCACTGTTCTAAGGGCTGGGGATACAAAAAGAGGTTAAAAAAAAAAGCCCCTTCCCTCAAGAATCTTACAATTTAAAGGGGGAGACAATATGCAAATAAGCATATACAAAACACACTCTATACAAGATAAATAGGAAATAATTAACAGAGAGAAGGCACTGGAATTAAGAGAGATTGGGGAAGGCTTCCTGTCAAAGGTGGAATTTTCATTGGGACTTAAAGTCAGTAGTCTGAGCAGAAGAGGGAGAGTATTCCAGGCATGGGGGACAGCCAGAGAAAAGCCGAGAGATGGAGTGTCACGCTCTACTTGGTAATTTATTTACATATGTATCTTAATCTTGGTCAAATGTGTATCCTCCTTTGGCGCCTTGTACCCAAACTTCACTACTTACCATCTGCGACTTCCTTGGCATAGGTGCTGGTGGCTGCAAACCCGAGGACGTGTTGGACGAAAGACTGGACACATCAGAGATCTCCCCAGCTGTGAGAAGCCCAAAAAGAATCTTTCTGAAAACATGCTATCCCATCTGTTTTGATTAACCCCAATTAACCCAAACAGAGTCACTTTCTACATCTGCAAAGGAAAATAGCCTTGACAGGAAATGTTTCTTGATTCTATTCATATGTTCTCCTGAATTTCCAAATAATCATATTCTAACTTTTCCTACCTGTAGGTTTCCAATCTTCATAATAATTCACAGATTTAATAATTCCATAGGCTTAAGCTCTAGATACTCCTCAGTTAATTTATGATTCTGGGACTCATTCCTGGGCTTTGCCCTTTCCCCTGTTGGCCAGTTTATGGCAATCCCGATGGAAGAGTCAGTGGGCACCCATCATTAAAGCTTATGTTCCTTTAGTAGTGGAATTTTAGTGATGCCTCCAAGCACGTGGCCTGATGTTCTGGAAACTGAATTCAGCCTCTCTTTGTCCTAAAAAGTGCCCCCAGCCTGAAACAGATATTGAATGAGGTAGTTACCAGTTCCTTTAGGTTGGCCTTTGTTGATCAAAGGAGATGACCTGTCAATGCTGTTAAGAACAAAAAGGAAAAAAAAAGACATTACCAATCTGTAAATTTTAAGAGCCAAGTACTTTTGTTAAGTATGCAGAGACGTCACAATTATCATTTCAGTTTTCTTAAGCCCAAAGAGGAGTCAAGAGACTTGGATTGGGATCCCAGCTCTGCCACTTAACAATGAGGTCTTAGGCAAATCACTTAACCATTGTGAGGCAGGCCTCAGGTTCAGCATCTAGAAGATGAAGGAGTTACAGTCTCTAAGGTCTGCTAGCATCACTGATTAGCAATCTGTTTGACCTTGAGTACATCCTTTTTCCTCTTCAGGGTGTAAAATGAGGTAGTCTCTAAGGTCCCTTCCAGCTCAAAGGCCATGATTCTGTGACCATAAAAGCCTTCAGTTGTATAGCTGTAGTTGCTAAGGCCCACTGTGGTTAGCACATTTATGAATCAGAACCCAACACAATAAAGCCTTGGAAGCTGCCATTCATCTGCTCCTTCTTCCCCTTTCTGGGCCTCAATTTCTTCTTCTATAAAACAAGAGAATGGGTGGGACAATCCCTATGGTCCCTTCCAGTTGTGACAGTCTATAAAACTACATGGATCTTCCCTTCTCTGAAAGGGGGATAATAATAACATCATTCCTGTCCTATCTCACAGCACCTTAGAGGATTAATAAAACATATGCGGAGAGGAGCTAGGAGAAAGACCATATCTTGTTCTTCTGGTGTCTTTTATAGTGCTTAGCAGCAGAGGGATTAAACATTTAGGAGTAAAAAGGAGAGAGTGAGCTTATTAATAGTAAATACTTGCTATTTTACCTTCAAATACAAAGGATTGTGATGTGAGTGTGTCCCTCTTTAAGAAAATCCAAATGTATACAAGTTGTAGCATTATGGTATAGTTCTTTAAGGAACTGTTTTCTTTTAAAAAGTGAACTCTAACAGTGCTTTAAAAATGCAATTCAATGTATATACAAAGCTTTTTCAGACCACTTCTATTGTATAAAGCAAAGCATTCTTAGATTTAATTTATTTGTGGCTTATTTCCTTGCAGAGGCAGATAATGAAAACCTGTGGTCTGGGTTTTGTATGTTAACATAGTGCTTTGATTTTCCTAAAGAATACACACACACACGTACACTTAACCCATCCAGAACACAGTTGAAAACCTTGAAGGAAAAAACAGATTCTAGGGCCCTCTCAGAGTGGAGGCAGCTAGGTGGTGCAGTGTCTAAAACACTGGACCTGGAATCAGGAAGACCTGAGTTTAAATCCAGCCTCAGACATTTACCGGCTGTGTGACCCAGGGCAAGTCACTTAACCTTGGGTGTTTCAGTTCCTCATCTACAAAATGAAGATAATAATAGCACCTACTTCAGACGGTTTGTTGTGAGGATCAAATGGGATAATAATTGTAAAATGCTTGGCATGGTGTCTGGCAAATATTACGTGCTATGAAAGTATTAGATAATAATAATAATAATAATGATGATGATGATAATGTTTTACCTAGAATTCTAATAAGCAAGTATTTATTTTCTCAACTCACAGCAAGAAAGAGAGAGACAGAGAAAAACACACAGAGTGTGTGTGTGTGGGGGTGTCCTGTGGGCTCATGTGGTATGGAAGATGTTAGAGACAGGCACAATGTCTTCAGTGTGAAGACACAGTTAACAACTTGTAAAAGTATGAAAATCTAAAGGAAAAATTCTGAGTTATAAAGGGTAGCTCTCTGGAAGGGGAGAGGGAGAGGGAGAGGAATACAGGATAAATCTAGGCAATGCAAAAGACGTCAACAAAATCTACTTTTTAAAAAAATTGAGGGGATTATTTAGTATAAAGGCAAAGAGCACTATACCTGTCAAAAGTCCTGAGGGCATGCCAGTATTATAGCACAGAACAATAATGACCAAGAATCACCAAGTAAAGGTAAAATTAAGTTCCACATAGTTTGTCAAAGATCTCAGGGAAGCAGGTAGGATATTTTAAAAGGTTTCTGTCCAATGCCTCACATGGGAGGCACTTGATATTTGATAAATTTTCATCAAAAGTGGTAAAAATAATTTTGCTGCTTAAAGTGGTTGTGTGGTAAATGCAATTATGTGACACAGGTCATTTCCTGATGATGGTGGGTAAGTGAGGTGGTATAACCTCTCCCCCAAAAAGGAAAGGCTGTTATCAGAAAAAATGAGACAAGGTCTGTAATAGCTCTATGTAATTGTTAGGCTACTATACAAATGTGGGCTGCCATACAAGGACCAGGTGGAACAACCAGAGAAGACAAGACTTGAAGGGCAGTGGATAGGATGATTCATGATCCATCTCATTTGAGTATCTAAAGTGTCACATGGAGGAATGATTACCTTTGTTTTGCTTAGACACAGGGCAGAACTAGAGGCAGTGGTGGAAGTTACAGTGAGAAATATAATGGTTCGATGTGAAGGAAAACTTCCTAATTAATGAGAGTAGTTAAAGGGTAGAATGGGACGCTCTGGCAGGCAGTGACTCCCTTAGCAATAGAGATCTTCAAAATGAGGCTAAATAACCACTTGTAGACATGGTAGAGGGAATTTCTGTTTAGTGAGCCAGTCAAATGGCCTGCTGTGTGACAGGCACTATGCTAACTGTGAGGGATATAAAATAAGGCAAAAACAGTTTCTGCTCTCAAGGGCATCACAAAATGTGAGAGAAAACAGGCAAATAACCACATACAAACAGGTACTGGTTGGATTGCATGACCTCTGAGGTTCCTTCCAACTCTGACTTCTGTAATTCTATTATTAGAATTCATTCAGGTCATATCTCCTCCAAAATCTTTAGTAGCTCCCCATTACCTACTGAATAAAGTTCAAACTCCTCGGTCATTCATGATCCTCTAAAATCTTCCACCAGCCTACAATCTTAGCTCTCATTTCATACGACTCCCTCCTCCCATATATTCTGTGCTTCCGTCAGTCACACTCTCTGCCAAACAATGTGTTCATTTCTCACACCGCAAGTGCTTCATCCATTTTGTTTCCCATGCCTAAATATTAATCTTTTAACTTATTTCTAACTTAAATGAAAGGAAGTGATCATTTTTCCTTTCCTTTTTCAATAAATTTCTATTTATATTTTCTGTTTCTTATATCACCATAGTAATCTCCTGTATCCTTCCACATCTCCCTTTGTGAACTGCCCCATGTGACACATACTATTTTCAGAGAGGAAAAACAAAGCCAGCATAACTGCCTGATACATTGAGAAAGTCTGAAAATGTGTACAGTGTGTAATAGCTGTGGATCTCCCACCTTCGCCAAAGGGTGGGTTGGAGGTGTCATCTCATATACCTTCATTCGAGTCTCACTTGGTTTTTATAGTTTTGTTACATTTGCATTTGATTTTTTGGTGTGTCATTCTTTCCATTTACTTTGTTGTAATTAGTGTGCGTATTATTTTCTTAGCTCTGTTTACTTCACGGTATCAGTTCATATAGATCTTTCCATGCTTCCCTATACATTATACACATAATTTCTTACAGCACAGTAATATTTTATCACATTTATGTACCACGATTTGATTAGCTATTTCCCAATTGACGAGCATCAACTTTGTTACCAATTCTTAGCTACCATAAAAAGTGCTGCTATAAATATTTTGGAGTATGTGGGGACTTTCTTCTTAATGATGACTTGCCAGTAATAGAGCTTCTGGTTCAAAGGGCATGGACAATTTAGTCACTTTTTTACATAATTCCAAATTATTTTTCAAAATGGTTGTACCATTATCTAGTTCCATTAACAATATAGCAGTGTGCCTATTCTTCCATAGCCCTTCCACTGGGGTAACATTGTGCTGTATTTTGTCATTTTTGCCAATTTTCAGGGTACGAGAAGAAACCTCAGGGTTGTTTTGGTTTGCATTTGTCTTATTGTTAGTGAATGGAGGCATCTGTTTCATGAAGTTGTGGATACTCTGCAATTCTTTTGAGAATTGTTTATTCATATTCTTTGACCATTTATTTATTTATTGGGAACAGCTATTAGAAAGAGTGCATGAGTGTGTGTACAAATATATATGAGGGGAGAAAGAGAGATAGCCAGAAACAGTATACACCTTGAAAACCAAACCTCTATTTCTTTTGTGTTCTCAATTTTGTTAGGATATACCTGTATATAATAATGTTCTGATCATTCTTTTGTTTCTTCTGGATTTGCTGTGATTTCACCATCATCTGCCATTTTATTGATTTAATTTTCTGCTCTCTTTTTAAAAAATTAAGATTAGCTAAGGGTTTATCAACTTTATTAACCTTTTCAAAGAACCAGCTTTTAGTTTTATTTGTTATTTCTGTGAGGTTTGTTTCCAATTATTTTCCCTCTTGCTTATCATATATCCTCTTCTGTGCATATTTTAGAAGTTTGTTTTTTTTTAAATTTTAAAAATGCATATTTAGTTCATTAATCCTCTTTTTCTTAATGCATGATTGAATGGATATGATTTTCCCCCAGAGGACTGTTTTGGCCGAATCTCAGAAATGTTGGCATGCTGTTTCACCATGATAATTGTCTTTTCAGTAGTCATTAATTACTTCTATGATCTGTTTTCTGATCCACTCAATTATTTAAGATTTCGCTGTCAAGCCTCCATTTAGGCCTGCAACTTTTGTTTGTGGTCCCTGCATCAATTTTTACTTTCATTGCATTATGGTATAAAAAGGATTTATTAACTATTTTTGATTTTTTTTTAAACTGCTATGTTCAGTTTTTGTAAAAGTTCCATGTAGTGCAGAGAAATATGTATTTTCTTTTGCTGTCCCATTTAGAAGATACCATAAGCCTTTTAACTTGTTTCTCCAGAAATTTGTTCAGTTCCGTATTTTCCCCTTTGTTTATCTTTCAGTTTGACTTACCTACAATAGAGGGATATTGTAGTCTCCTGTTACATACTATTGTGTTAACTATGTCCTTCTTGTAGCTCTGATAACATGTCTTCATGAATTTGAATACTAAGGCATTTGGAGTATCTAAGTTCATTATTAATGTTGGTTGGTTGCCTACGGTTTCTTTCAGCATAATACAGTTTCCTTGTTTATGCCTTCTTATTTATTTGAATGCTTTTGCTTTGTCTGATAGCATGATGTGAAATTCTGCTTTCTTGGATTCACTTGATATATAATAATTTTTGTGTGTGTGTCTTTGTTTTCAAATGTGTTTCTCAAAAGCAACAAATTGTAGGGTTTTAATTTATTTTACAATCTCTCTTTTTTGTTTGTTTTTCATTTTATTGGAATGTTTAATCCATTCAGTTTTTGGGGTGTGTGTGTGTGTGAGGCAACTGGGGTTAAGTGACTTGCCCAAGGTCACACAGCTAAGCTATTAAATGTCAAGTATCTGAGGCCACATTTGAACTCAGGTCCTCCTAACTCCAAGGCTGAAGCTTTCCACTGCACCATCTAGCTGCCCCTAATCCATTCACTTTTAAAGTTATAGGTGTTAAGTTTACATTTTTCTTCATTTGTCTCTAAAAATTGTTTTTTAAGTTATGATTTTCCCCCTATCTTTTGTTATAAATACAGTATTATGTTTCTTCATTTACTTTAATCTTTTAGGGTGGGCCTATTTCCAATGGCAAAAGCCCTAACCCTTGATCTCTTCTCATTTGTTACCCCTTTCCCTTTAGTGTTTTATTAGTTCCTTTTTTCTTTCCCACTTTTATCTGGGTATATATTTCTTCTATCTCTTTTCCTCTTTCAGTCAAGTTTATTCCCTCTTGTTGTCCTTCCCATTCAGCAAGTCTAATTCATTAAATTTTTAAATTTCATTTTTTTGTCCCCTTTCCAAAAAGAATTTCTCTCACTTTTCATAATTGATCTTACCTTTCTGTTTACTCTAAACTCTCATTCTCTGATTCATAACCCCCTATAACTGTCTGGTCTCTGCCTTTTCTCTGCATTCTTTCTGCAATCAAAGCTTCCAAGGTATGCATTCTAGGCTCTCCCCTCTAGGTGTTTTCTGTCTCTGCTCTCTAGGGCTGACCCCACAGATTCCCCTTTTCCATTGTGTCTTCCAGAACAATGCCCCTAAGGGTTCCAATTCCCCCCTCACAAGACAAGTAGGCTTTTCAAGTACCAAATCCCCTAAGACTCATCCAGTATAAGGTTCTCATCTGCCTTCACTGACCATCTCTTTTCACCCAAAGGAGTAATCGTCAGTGGAACCCTTTCTGTCTTTAAAGTAAGGCCTCCTTCTTTCCCCTTCCTTTTTCAAATTTTCCCTCTTCTTCCTCACCTACTCCCCTGTAGGATAATTTCTTTCTGAGACCAGAGAGGTCACCCTTTCCTCATTGCTAACCCCTCAATTAGACCTTGGTACATCACTATCCCCTCTCTATCTCCCAGTCCTCTTTCCACTTTTATGTACTCTCCCATGCTGTAATGTAGTTCCATGGCAGGGGAAAAAGCATTGACTTACCTGTAGGCAGAGTGTCACCAGATTCTATTTATAATCATCTTGTCTACTTTCTTGTTATTTCTACCAGATTTTCATCTTGACTCCTGTTTCTTTGTATACATTCAGAAAGAACCGGTCTTTGTGTTATTACTCTGTTGCTCTTGCTATCCTTGCCTATTCCATTTATTCACTCCTGCATTTCTGTTGTTTGGCATGTTTGAGAAACAAACTCTTCAGTTCTGGTTTTTTAAAATAATATTTCAAACTTTTCTTTATTATCTAACATCCATCTTTTCTTCTGTATGGTTAAGCTTAGATTTTCAGGGTACACCTGAGCTCCAATGCTCTTTGGAACATATTATTCCATTCTCTACCCCCTTTTCTAGTGGGTGTAGAATAGTCTTGTGTTACTTGAATGTCCTTTCCTTTGTATCTGAGGGTCTTTCTCCTAATGGCTTGCAGAACATGTTGCTTCTGAATTGAACTGTTAAATTTAACCACTATGTGACTTGAAGTTTTCAGCCTTGGGTTTTTTTTTTCTGGAGGCAATCTAGGAATTATTTCAGTTGGAATTTCATTTTCTTGTTCAGAAGTTCTGGGTAGTTCTCTTCTATTATTTCCTTCATTAGCATGTAAAGGTTTTTGTCCTGTCATGCTTGGGAGACCTATGGTCCTTATGTTGTTTCTACATATACCATTTTTGAGATCAATATGTTTTGCAATAATGAGCATATTTTACTTTAGGATTATTGTTTCTTGCTTCTCTTCTCCGAGGTTGTCATTCATTTCTGTGTATTTGTTTACTGATATATTGTTCTTTCTTTTGTTTCTTTGGTGAGGCTTGCCATTGCAGATTCTAGTTTTCTATTCTGTTAGTTTTGTTGTGTAGGAAATAAATTCCGCTCTCTAATTTTCATTTCTCATTTAAACCACTCAGGAACCAGCACTGTGGTTCCACGTTTTCCTCAAATTCCACAAGATCCTCTTTGTCATCAAGTGTTGGATCACTTTCCCTTATTCTACAGTATTTATTCATAGATGCCTGAACTCATTTACTAGATCTGGAGGCCATATTTCCTTTTGTTGTTAATGTTTTTACTGTTGATTTCTCTGTTTATGTTTAAAGTTTTTGAGTTTTCCTCTTCCTAAAATACTTGGTACTTTCAGTCTCTATCCTGCCTTACTTTCTTTGTCACTCACTTCTTGACTCCCTCCCTTCTGATTGTGGTTTCTTAGGGGGCTGGATCTCAAAGTGCCTCAGCCTTCTCCCACACTGAGCGCATTTAGGGTTCACCAGCCTAGGTCTCTGCCCTACTGACTGGACCTAGCTGGCTCTGGGCTGGCACCAGCAGTTCAGAGCTCTTTTTTATCTGGCACTGAAAGTTCAGAGCTTTGCAGTGCTGGTGCTTCTGGACTGCTGTGTCCAGTAGGATATTGCTCCCAAATGGCTGTGGCCAAGCTGGCTGTTGAGACCCCAGCAAAGTCTGAGCAAGAGTCTCTACAAAACTAGAAAGAGTGAGGGGGGATCATTATGTAGGAGTGGACTTTCATATAAGCCTATGTTATGTCCTTGGGTCTGCTACTGCATTCTTGCTGCCAGTAGCATGGCAGGTGAAGAAGGAGTGCTGAATGAACTCAGGGTCAGTAAGCATCAGGATTTGTTTTGTTTTGTTTTTTAACTGTCTTTTGGATTCTGGATATCTAGACCATGCAACAACTGAAACTGCTTTATCTTTAGTGCATACTTTCTGTTTTGGAGAGGTCTGAGGGGTCTTAAGGATCAGAGAAAATGTCTAGTCTGCCATCTTGTTGATCATGTGAACCAGAACCCATTTTTCTAATGCACTTAGTAATACGGCCAGCTAATTATCTATGCCATTATTATGAGTCTTTCTATTCTGGAAAGTCAAGAAATACACCGCATTTCTGTTACTGACCATACGTTATCCAGTCACACAAGGATACATGGCAGAACTAACAGTCATCTATCCTGTATACCACCACTACTAGCTCAATCCTTCTAAACATGGCTTTGACCATCTCACTTAACATTCCCTATAGCACCAAGTCCAAACTTCCTTATCCTTAAGTAGCCTGGTTTTCAAAGCCCTTGACACCATGGCTTCAATCTGTTTTTCCAGCCTTATTTCCTCTTATGTGCTTACAGGGCCCCCATTCCCTAGCTAGACTGGTCAAACTTCTGTTTCAGAACTTAGCCTTATCCTTTCCTGCCTCCAAATTCTTTGCTCCACTATTGCTTTTTCCATCCATCCATTCATCATTTTACTGGATTTTTACCAAGTACCTAGTGAGTAAGAAACCTTGGTGCTCATCTCTGGTTAGAAGAATATATAAATGTAAAAACAGTGTCCCTGCTCTCAAGAATTTCTAATCTATTTGGGGAAGTTTATCCATCTCTGTGTTACTTCCTACAGTGATGCAGGTCTTTACCCCTTTATGTCTCAATGAGCAATTTCATGAGTTGCTGTGGTTAAAATAATTCATCCTCTGGTGGCCAGCTGTTCAGTGATGAGTCTTTCCACACTTGGCTCACCTGTTCCTTGGATGACCAATAGTCCATTTTCAAGGCTGGACTCAAAAGCCTTTCCAGCTTTGTAGGACCTACCAGGGTACTTCACCAGCAGAGCCTCTGAGAACCACTGGAGAAGACAGTCAGTACATCAACAGGCATTCATTAAGCACTTACTGTGTGCCTGGCACAGTGTTAAGTGCTAGGGATACAAAGAAATATACTTTGGGGAGGCATTGGAAAGGTAAGGCTTAAAATATAGAAGTTACATCATTGCAGTAGGGTATAATTTACATTCACAGGATGCTTTAAAATTCAGGATTCTAGTTTCAGTAACTGTGTGACCTCAGGCAAACTACTCTGATCATCATTTTTTCTGATCTGCAAAATGGGCATAATTATGCCTGACCTACCTACTTCACTGGATTGCTTTAAGGATCAAATGAGATATAAATGCTCTTTTCAAACTATGAAGTGCTATATTGAATGGGAATGTACTTCAGAGACCATTTTGTCCAACTATTATTAATATAAACTAATTTTTTGAGTACTTTTTACAAAATCATGGTGTCAGGTTTTGGAGCTGGCAAGGACCTTAGAGGTGATTAAATCCAAACCTCCTCATTTTACAGATGAGGAAACTGAGGTAAGAACTGTTAAGTGGCCTGGCCAAGATCATACAGATAATATATAGCTAAAGTCGCCTTAAAAATCACATCCCATCAATAGAATTCCTTATGTTTATCTGAATATATCTATCTCAAAGGAGGCTTGTTAATAAATGAAGGCATGTCAACATTTTGGAGGGTCCCTGGCATTAAGAAGTGAAAATGTAAACAACTATTAAGGAACCTTTAACTGAGACTTACCCAGGAGTGGGTTTTTTCTGCATGATTCGACTGGGAGGCTGTGGAGGCAGGGGTGGTGGGGTGGACTTGGACTGCAGGGCTGTCGCATGGGGCGGCTTGGACTGCTGCTGGTTCAAGGCCTCGATCACACTGGCTGTTTTTGCCACAGGAGGTGGCGGTGTTGCACTCAGGGGATCTATAGGGCAAACAAAAGAGACAAAAAAAGAGTACAAGAAGTCAGAATTTAGTCTCTGCAGCACTTGTACTTCTTCTCACCTCCATTGTGTCCTGGAAAGGGAGGAACCTCCTTTTCTCTTCTGCCCTAACAGATATTTCCTAAGGAGGAAAAACACGTACTGTTTTATTGCAGGTTTTTTTTTTAAAGAAAAAACATTCAAAGAAAAGGAAGGGGGGGTAGGAGGCATTTCAGCCCAATAAGAACACAATTCTAGAGTTTACACTAAGCAAGCTTTTCATCAGTCAATTGCATTGTCCCCCTAAGGCAGAAGCAGCCTCCTTAAGTCAAGAGATTGTTAGGCCTTCAGTCCAAGGACCAATGGAAATAGCACTAAGGTAGAAGGGAGGAGACCCAGGTGTCCTGGCTCTGTTCTTGACTAGATGAGGGATCTTGGGCAAATCAGTTCAACTCCCTGTGTCTCACTTTATTCACTGTTCAAATAAGGAAGATATAACCTGCCCAATATTCTTCAGAGAAATATTACACTAATGAAATGAATGAACAGATATGAAACAGATGCTTTTAGAAAAAAAAAGTGTTATTTAAATGTAAAAGACTTTCATCTTTATTTCTTTTCTTTTTTTTTTTTTGGGCAATGGGGGTTAAGTGACTTGCCCAGGGTAACAGCTAGTAAGTGTTATGTCTATGAGGCTGGATTTGAACTCAAGTCCTCCTGAATCCAGGGCCAGTGCTCTATCCAGTGCACCACCTAGCTGCCCCTTTATTTCTTTTGCAAAAGAGACCTGGGTAAGTAGAAGGCACAATTAATTTTTAAATAGGGATAATAATATTCACATTTCCTGCATCACAGAATTGCTGTACAGAAAGTGCTTTGTAAAACATAAGTGCCTATATAAATGTCAGTTATTATAATTTAAAATCCTGGGGTTTCTCTATCATTAAATACGCTTCTAAGAGAGGATGAGAAAATTTCAGTTTGCCAGGGCAACAAGGCAGGAAACATAAGGTAAGGAAAATAACCTACGACAAGTAGTTTTATAGAGTGAAGGATGAAAAGCAGAAAGGCTTGGCCTACTAGCGGAAGTGTTCTAGGTGAGGCCTCTGCCACAGTCAGCCCACTGAGGAGAGGGATAAAGTGACATTTTAGCTCCATGGCCCGATAACCTGGTACTGAACTTCATTCTAAGGTGTAGGTTTTCCTCTGATTCTAATTAAGTACACATGTGCTCCAAGGCCCTCTAATTCTAACCCAGAGGAACATAAAAATTACATTCCCTAAATGAATTAAGCACAAAGTACCGAGGACATTCATTTCTCTTATATCTGATAAGCAGTTACAGATGCACTAAATTCACACATTTTGCTGAACGGGCCTTTTCAAACCCTGAGATGAAAACAACTCCAGTCCATATTCAGAATGTCAGGGAAAACACCACTCTAGCATCCCTATTTCAGTAGGAAATAGGGATGTGGGAAGTTCCAATGACATGGTGGCTGCTAGGGTAAGGAGAAGATGGTGACGGGAAGAGACATAACACACCATACATTATCATCCAAGTACTCATTCAAACTGACTGTTCCACAGGGCTGCAGTATTTGCTGAAGATCACTGAAACCATATGAAATGGCCAAAGCAAGGCTGAGGATCATTATTATAATTAGAGGCAGGACATAGCCTTAAAATGCTTTAAAATACAAAGGAAGAAAGTAAAAATGTGTGGCAGGAATATGATTTTCATAATTATTGCCAGAGAAGAACTGGGACTGGAAAAGAGTAAGAAAATAAGTAACTGGGGTAGGGGGAAGAGAAAGGCTGATTTAAGAAAATCTTTTCACATCCTTGATCAATGGAACTGGTAATAACCTTCCCACTCAGACCTCATGGTGTACTTGGTTCTTTCTGCACTTTTCTTCTATTAATGGTGTCTATCTTTGTGTCTTACTCTCTATTCGATAACAAGCTCCCTGAGGGAGGGCAGGGATCTTTTCCACTGAAACTTTCTATCTCCTCCTATAATTCCCTCAGTGCATCATACAGTGCCCTGCACAAGCAGGTGGCTAATCAATGTTTGCTGAATAAACAAACGAATGAATGGCATGATTCTGGGCACATTAACCAATATACCCCAAAGGACTGATTAAACCCATCTCTCCCCTTGTAACCACGTATCACACTTTTGTTGGCTAAGTTTGGCTTCCCTTTTTTCCCTCCTTCAAGGAGGCCCGTCCCCTGCCATGTAAGAGTTAGTGTAGAATGGCAACAGAAGGAAGAATGAAAAACGTACTCGTAGATGTCACTCGCAGAGGGGGCAGCGGTGGATGGATAGCTGGCGGATCTGACGAAGATCGCTGCCTGCTTACACTGTCCACACTTAAAGAATTTGTCTTCCACGAGGTGTTAGCTGAGGAGGCTGTCTGGACACCAGTGCCCAGGATGGGAGGCTGAACTAAACCCACACACGGACACACACAGAAACAGAACAAAAGATACCACATTACTGATCCTCCCTGTCACAATGCCACCGGCACTCGTGGAGGCTACAGAAGACCTCGTGCCCTTGTCAAGTGGTAAGAAACCATCATTCTTCAGGAGCAAAAGTTCAAGGGAACAAGTGCAAATTGGCCTGTTGTTTGTTGTGGTTGTTTTTTCCCCATGGGGACAGATGTGAAACCAAAGATGCTTCAGGGAAAAATGCAGAGCTACTTTTTTGCTTCTGTATTGTAGTACAATTTTAAATGCTCAAATGGATGCACTACTCAGAGGGAACTGGAGGTGGAAAAGGCACACCCTAAACTTTGTCTCCCGAGGGGTCCGTGGCTCAGGGTTCATCACATGAAATAGCCTTCTCTTTCCCGACTGAGCCATTGCCAACAGTCTTTCTCATACCTAGAGTTCGTGTTATTTCCAAACAAAGAATGACTTCCTCAGCTGGAAGTGGGAGGGAAACACACAGGGTCGAGATCAAAGATTCATTCAATTCATTCTTCAAATGACATTTATAATCAAGTACCTAAGTGTGCACAGTATGAAGCCAGGCATTTTTTGCACTACGCCCTAAGCACATAGGCCTTAGAGGACACAAATAATTTACAAAATACAGCTAGAAATCCAGAACTGAAAAGGATAACTATGATAGCGCATTTTAGGATTTCACACCAGAAAAAAGCATCACCTCCTGCTGTGTAATGAGGAGGAAGCTTTAGAAGGTTCCTTGGGTCTCTATGTGTGAAACTTATTGCCATATAATGTCAACTCATCTTCTCCTTTTAACATCCTGTTAGCTGGTGGAACAATTTCAGGTAAAATGTGTGCATCCTCCAGGAACAGATTCCAGGAAAGGTTATGGGCTTAACAGATGAACACCATGGGAATGTGTGGTGAGTATGAAACATCAATTTGCACACAAAAGAAAAAGTACATTATTTATTATCATAAATTAGTTAATTTTAAAGACAGAAAGGGTAGCAACAGGAGAAAATGTGTGGGGGGAACCACAAAACAGATGCTCAGGAACTGGCAAAGCAAAAAAAATGATCATTAAAACTGTGAAAAGTGGTTGGACTTGGAGTTAGGAAGACCTGTGGTTAAATATGACCCTAGACTCTTTTTAACTAGCTGTGTAATCCTGAGCAAGTCATTTAGCTTCCCTTAGCTTTAGTTTTCTCACCTGCAAACAGAAAATAATAATAATTGTAGAACACAAAGATTCAAAAACAAAAATATACTTTGCAATCCTTAAAATATTATATAAATGTCAGATATCATTATCCTCCCATACAATTCACCAAAGTAACATATAAAACCTTGAGGATGTTTTTTATTCTTGGAGGCACCAATATATACCTCATCATTAAAAGTCTCCAATGAGATGGGATGACCATGCCATTTTAACTCTGTGACTTAGAAAAAACATACACAATATATACACAATGCTTGAAAAAGGGTAATGGGGGAAGGGATCTGAGCTGACCTAGGGAAGAACCCCATTTACAATTCCTCTGACAATGGTCTATAGGCCTAAGGCTGGGTGGGCTTCATAGGGAGGGTTTATTGGAGAACACAGAATTACAGGTGATGAAGTGTGGATAGACTGAATATAAACACTAGAGGGAGCTCCTACATAGATGAGTTCAAAGGTTGCTTTGAATGTTGAAGTATGGTGTGGTTGCCAGGTCAATCACTGGAGCACAGGAGATACCTTTGGGGACGGAAGACCCAGAGTCTACTTTGTTGTCCTGTACCTGCTGCTGAGCTTATGTTCAAGGCTAACCAGTGGAGGAGTGATTTAGAGAGTATAGACTGAAGGTCATTAGAGAGCAAACAATAATAATTAATAAATTTCTGTCAGGAACAATTTGAGTAAGAGACCATATAGTGTAACGTTTTTAGCCAAAAATCCCTTCAGACATCTGTGGCAATTTTATAGACTGCCTTTGCATTTTTCTGGATCTCAGCTTTCTTGGACTTACCTCCCTGTGACCTGTATCGCTTCACTTCCTGGGAATCATCACCAGGCCCTCATGCCCTGTCCCTACTCCCCTTCCTAGTGCCAGCCTGTTCTCAATTCCCCAGTCTCTACTGTCGCCTTCATGGGAGTGGTTGCTAATCTTTCCTTTTTCTCAGCAGTGTCTTGTATCACTCAGAACTTTCTTACGCGTACCATGAGGATCAAGAATCTGATTGAGACCTCAGGAAATCGGATGGTATTTTCTGCTTTGATAAAGACATACCATCTGCTGATGGTGAACATATTCTGTGAAGTCCAAGATCCTCAGGTACAAAACAGAGTTAGTACGTGGTCCTTTCATTCTTACTCATTACTAGATGAGCTAGATTAGGGGTTCTTAAATGGGAGCCCATGAACTTGTTTTATAAAATTTTTTTGATATTTCAGTGTGATTGGTTTTCCTTGTAGTCCAATACTATGTATTTTATTTTGTGCCTTTAAAAATTTATTCTGAGAAGAGGTCTACAGACTTCATCAAACTGCCAAAGGGCATCTGACACAAAAATAATAGCAATAACAGTAATATTAATAATTATAGCTAGCATTTATACAATACTTTAAGCTTTACAAATATCTTATTTGATCCTCATAACAACCCTGGGAGGCAGATGCTATTATTGTCTCCATTTTATAGATGAGGAAACAGAAGTAGACAGAGGCTAAGTGACACACCCAGAGTCATACAGTTATAAGTATCTGAGGCTGGATTTGAATTCAGATCTCCCTTTTGTTGTCAGTCATGTCTGACTCTTTGTAACCCCATTTGGGGTTTTCTTGGCAAAGATACTGATGTGGTTTGCCATTTCCTTCTCCAGCTCATTTTACAGATGAGGAAACTGAGGTAACCGGGGTGAAGTGATTTTCCCAGGGTCACACAGCTAGTAAATGTCTGAGACCAGATGAATCTTCCTGACTCCAGGTCCAGCACTCTATCCATTTCCAATCAGCTGCCCGATAAAATAAAAAAGATTACCCCTGAAGTAGAAGATGCAAATCGAGAACATGCCATTTATTTCCTTCATTTCTAGGGAGACTAAGGAGATTGCTATGCTGACAGTAGATTCTCTGTACTTAAGGAACAACATCAAATGTAATTACAAACTGCCACATTCATCACACCTGGAAAGATTCACTTTCCACCTAACCCACCTACTATATTTCCCATGACAAGAAGGTCTACATAAATACATATAATTTTTTTTTTTTTAGGCAATTGGGGTTGAGTGACTTGCCCAGGGTCACACAGCTAGCAAGTGTCAAGTGTTTGGTCTGAGGTTGGATTTGAACTCACGTACTCCTGATTTCAGGGCCGGTGCTCTATCCACTGTGCCACCTAGCTGTCCCCTATTTTATTTTTGTTTTGGAGTGGTTATGAAAATTGAAGCACTATGTAAATATGCTGTTGTTATGGTGATGATGCTTTCAAAGATTCCACTAAAATCAGTCGCTTGAGGGGGATCCCAGCTGTACTCAGGGGCAGCACAGACTAGAGGAATGACTGCCTGATGTAGAGCCAAAGGACCCAAGTATGACTTACTACTTTGCTTCGTACAACCTGTAAGACTTTGAGTGTATTATTTGCTCCCCTGGGGTCTGTAAAATGAGATTGGTTGTACTAGACTACCTCTAAGGTCCCTTCAAGCTCTCCATTTTATGGTCTTTTTTCTTAATCTTCATATGCTACAAGGGTCTTCTAACTCCTCTTGGCCTCTTCACAAAACAGCAGAAGTCTCTGTACCCAGTGGAATACTTCTTGAATATTTTCAGCCAGGTCACTGGTTCTCCAAGTTGAACTTGCCAGAAATCAGCACCACAACTGAGCCTGCTGCTGTCAAAACCTAACTTTGACTCGTTATGTTTTCCTATGAGGACAAGTCTTTCTGTCTTGTTCTGAATTCTGTCTGTTCTTTCTGACTTCCAGGGCCAACAACATTCTGAGCTGAAGGGTTAATCAGAGACATCCACGGTACTAGAAAATATATCTGGATGCTATATGCAGGTGTACAGAAAAGGAAGGAAAGAAGGGAAATGAAAAAAAGACAAGGAATGTGAAGGAAGAAAGACATGACAGAGGGAAAAAAGAAAAAAGAAAGGGAGAAAGGAAAAAGGAAGGAGCAGGGAAAAAGGGAGAAAGAAAAGAGAGACACTAGGATTGTGCCTGTTATCTTTTTGTCTGTTGACAACTATGTCATCAACAGCCCCCGTCAGGTGCTATATTGGTGTGGATGGAGGTCATAGGTTACCTTCACTGTTCTATTCTAATCATAAATGTGCAACCCTTTTGCTCAATGAAATAAGAGTTAAAATTTCACCACACTCTGACACCATGAATCAGCAGAGGATAGTGAAAAAAACACTGAACTTACAAGCGAGACAATTTGAGTTCAAATTCTAAACTCTGGAATTTAGTAGCCACATGATCTAGCTCAAGTCACTTACCTTCTCTCTCAGTCTCAGTTTCCTTTGTGAAATGGTGGGTAATAATATTTTTGCTACCTACCTTACAGAGGAAGGACCAAATGAGATAATGTGGGTCATGCATTTTTTTAATCATAGGAAACTATGTAACTCTGAACGACAGTTATTATCACAAAACAGTTAAAACCAGAAAAATAACGTTCTGATACTTACATTTGTCATCAACTACAAAACAATGTACCGAAGCAAAACAGTAACCCTTCTGTACCCCACTTCTCCCAATATATTTTTCTACTTTCCAGCTTAGTACCTTTGCCAATATTCCGGGGAGGTAGTGGGGGTGCGTTGGACTGTGAAGGTGGGGGGCTGCTGCTGAGGATGGTTCCGTAGGTCTCGTTTTGTAGAATGCTAGGCATAAAGCCTCTCTGTTTGTCTTTAGCGATGTTAGCAGCATCTCTAGCCAAAGATGCAGCATTCGACTGGTGCTGGCTGGAACCCAGTTGATAAAAACTGACGGGCCTGTCCTCTCGCCGATTAGGGCTGGGCTGCTAAAGGAACCCCAAAACAGAGGTGTCCATGTTGGTGATATTTAATATTCCCTTTTTATTACTTATCTTTTGTGGAAGGGAGAATTCACCTATAACACATCAGCTTGAATACAGACACAAGTTCAATTCCACCATGTTTGCTGGATAGAAGATTTTAAACCTTACCTCCTTCTCTATCTCCCAATTCTCCCCTCCAAAAGTCACCAATATGTCCAATTCATGCCACATTCTTTGTTGAGCATTAAAACCAAGTACAGTGGTTAACATTTCCCCCTCTCCAGTGATTTACTCATGCTATTCCTCTCTAGGAAAGCAATGTAGAGAGCACTAGATTTGAATTCTGACTACTTTTTAACCTGAGTGACCTTGAAAAGCCCTTTCCCTCTCTGGGCCTCATTTTCCTCATCTATAAAATGAAGGGATTGTATCTAATGATCTCTAAAAGTCCCTACAAGCTTCAATTTGATGATCCAAATGCTTGCCCTGATTCCTTCCGTGACACACCCTATTGTGAATCATGGGACAAAGGGTATGATCAATGTTTTCTTCCTGCCTGAATCAGAGTTGTTCCTGTTTAGGCTTCAGAAATCAAAGCCATCCATACAGACTTGGCCCTGAGGCTACTACATCTAGTACTCCTTTATATAAGCTTTCCAAAAATTAAGCCATCCAAAAGTGGAATGGGACGCCTCAGGAGACAGTGAGTCTTCCCATCACTGGATGTCTTCAAAAAGAGGAGGGAGGGACATTTGTCAGAGGAGATTCCTGTTCAGGTATGGGTAGGACTAGATACATACAAGATATCAAATGCACCTCACTGTGGTGAGTGTCCTGTAAAACATGATCTAATGTAACCATACTGAATAGGGAAGAACAGTTTCAGTTGAGCAGAATTCATGAAGTATTTCCTGTCAGAGTGAGTTCTATTTCTTCTGGAAGAATCACTTCTGTCTACAGGTTATGTTACTCTTTACCTTTAATATAATACTGGAATACACTGAGGAAAATAGGGAATATTTCTGAACAAAAGGTGTGGTGGCATGTACCTCACCACCTCTCTCTCTCTGCCTATTGTAATAATTCTATGTGGGCTCCCACCCCTCTAATTTTAACTCTCTGCCCCCTCCAATTCACCTTTCAGACAGCTGCTAGTGTCATCATTCTAAAGCATAGGTCTGACTATGTCTTCTCATAAATCTTCAGCAGCCCCCAATTTCCTTTAGGACAAAATACTAACTCCTCACTCTGATAATTAAGGCTCTCCATAATCTCTCACTAGCATACCTTTCCAACCTTATTTCACATTATTCCTTTTCAAGCAGGCTCCTAGCTGTTTGCAGGCTTGTCCTACACTACTTTACCAATTTCACATATTTGCTCAAATTATCTCCCTTGTCCGAATCACAATCATTTCCTCTTCCAAGCCTTCTCTTCCATTGAAGTCCTGCTCCAGAGTCCAACATTCATCTATAGCAATTGCTTAATACATGCTGTTAAACAGAACTGAAGTGAATGCCAAAAGCCTGTGCTTTTCAAGGTGAGAACATTGTAAGAAGCTTCTTTCCCATTCCCCAACTTTGACATTGGCACACACATTAATACAAGGTATGTGGCTTATCTCTGAGTCTCATAAAAAGGGGAGTGGCTGCTGTAAGTAGACTGGGAGTTACCTAGGCAGGATGATGCAGTGAAGGTAACACTGGAACAGGGTTCAAGGGCCAAGTTCAAACTCTAGATCTTCCAGGTGTGAGATCCCTGTCCTCAAAGAGCACTTGTCACACAGAATCTTAGTGCTGTGAAGAATTTCAAAGACCACCTAGCCATACCTCAACATGAATCCCCTCTATAGCACCTCCAGCCTTTGCTAGAATAGCTTCGTTCTAGCAAAGTGAGGAGGGAACTCACTATATCCTTAAGCGATCCATTCCATGTTAGAAGAGCTCTAATTGTTAGGAAGTTTTCCTTACATCAAACCTAAATTTGCTCTTTGAAAATTCTACCTATTGTTTCTGGTTCTACTGTCTGGGATAAAAAAGGACAAGTGTAACCCCATACCCATAGGGACAGACTTTCAAATAGAAATATTGTGTCCCTGAAACTACTCTCTCTTCCAGGCTAAACATGTTCAGTTCTCTCAAGCAAGTTTCATATGCCATGGACTGACTCAAGGCCCTCTACTACCCTGTCTGGCTTCCTTTGAGATGCTCCCCCAACTTATTAAAGTTTCCCCTAAAACAAGGAACATGAAATTCAGCACAATACTGTGGCCTGAATCAAACAGAAGAGAGTGGGACTAATACGTCCCTAAGTCCTGGACACTGCACCTTTCTTAATCCACCCCAAGAATACCTTGGCTTTCTCATGTCATATCACACTGCTGATCCACAGAGTTCTAGGCTTTAGTTGCTTCATGAATGAAATGAAGGTGGCAGGGTTAGACTGGATGATTTCTAGGACTCCTTTCAGCTCTAGAATTAAATGTTTTCATGATTCTAAGGAACTCTTAAAGATCAATAGGATCACAATTGACCAAAGGGAAAACCTACCTTAAATAACAATCAACACTAGATAAAGAAGGAACACCCCAAATACCTTCCCTTACATCATAAGGTTAGCAGCTAAGTATGATTAAAGGATTAACTACAGTTAGAAATTAAATAGGGGGTGGGAAGGAGAGAGGGTATGTAGGGAAGAACCCCAAATCTCCTGGCTTCAGAGAAAACAAAAAGCAAACTCTTTTCCTTACTACACATCATCCTCCTATAATTATAGAGTAGGATCGATCCAAATCTCTCTGAATGAAGTAGATCAAAAGCTTTTCAGGATTGTACAATTTGGCACCTATCACCCAACACAAACCTGCAATTTTTCATCCACGTCATCATCACTTTCATCTAGGTCTTCATGGAGCAATCGCCATTCATATTCCACATGAACATGAGAATTAAACCTTCCAGATAATGCCTGAGTGAGCTAGGAAAAAATAAGGATGGGGGTTAATTGCAATGCTTCTGTGTGCAGAACTATGAAATGGGCATTTTTAAGGCTATCAGAAATAAACTTAGCTTTTATATTCACCCAAAGGACCCTCTCCCGGTCCCCAGCCCACACATTTTCCCTGAAACAAAGATTAAAAAAAAAGTCTCCCTCCTTTCAAAAACAAAAACCTATCCCTCTCTACAGAGAAGACTGTGTCAAATTTCAGTTCTAGCTTTTAAGAGTAATGCCTATCTCTGATAACTAAATGGTCAAAATATACAAAAGGGCAATTCTCAAAAAAGGCAAGCTATCCACAATGATATTTTTAAAATGTTACAAATTACTACTAATGATAGAAACACAAATTAAAACAAGCCTGAGGTACCACCTCATGCTCATCAGATTGGCAAAGAAATAAAAAAGGATAATGGCCACTGTTGGCAGGGAGGACAGGCACACTAATGTGAGGGTAGGTGGTGCAGTGGCTAAAAGGCCGGGCCTGGAGTTAGGAAGACCTGAGTTCAAATATGGCCACAGAACAATTAGCCTGAGCAATTCACTTTTCCTGTTTGCCTCATTTTCCTCATTTGTAAAATGGGGATAATAATAGCACCTACCTCCCAGGGTGGTTGTGAGAATCAGATGAGATAATTGTAAAATGCTTCTCTTAGTGCCTGGCACACAGTAAGTGCTATATTAATATTAAGCAATTATTATTTACTATTGGTGGAGCTGTTAATTCAACTATTCTGGAAAGCATTCAGGTTCATGGAGGATCTCTCATTCTAAAGATGAGGAAACTGAGATCCAGAAGTAAAATTATACGTCCAAGGTCATTCAGCTAGTGATTATCAGAGGTTGGATTTGAACCCAGGTCCTCTATCTAATACTCCCAAAGTCAATACCCTTTGACTCAGAGACATCATTAAGCATATTCCCCAAGGGGACCAAAGAAAGAGAAAAAAGATCCATATGTACAAAAGTATCTATAGTAGTATTTTTTTTATTACAGCCCTGAACTAGAAAAACAAAGAAGGTGCCCATGAAGAAAAAAATTATGATATACAAATATAATGGATCATTCTAAGAAATGACAATGCGACAGATTCAGATAAACTTGGGAAGACCTGCATGAACTGATGCAGAGTTCAATGAATGGATCCAGCAGAACAATTTAAACAGTAATCACAATACTATAAAGGAAAACAATTTTGAAAAACTTAAGAACTCTGATCAATGCAATGACCCACCAGGACTTTAGAAAACAGTGATGAATCATGCTTCCTATCTCTTGGCACAAAAGTGATGGACTAAAGGTGAAGAATGAGGCATACATTTTCTAACATGACCAATGTGTGAATCTGATTTGCTTGACTATGCTTGTTACAATGGAGGGATTTTGCTTTTGGTAAAGCAGAGTTATCAACGACCTCTCCTTGTATATGGAGTAACATAGGAACATAAGTGACAGTAATGTCCCTAAAAGAAGCAAAGTGCAGCAATAAAAAAAGCATTTCAAGATATACAGAATAGAAAAGGTCAGGAGAGGATACAGACAAGCAGGTCAGTGTTGGAATTACCACAATAAATTTAATATATTCTTTAAAAATCAAGCGGTTCATGGTATCACATAAAATCTTTTTCTGTTCTTATTTGTATTTGGAAATGTTCATGTCCGTTGATATTAAGCACATTACAATACAAATAAAAATTCTTAAAAAAAAAATCAGTGCTGATCAGTCTGTGTGGATTAAGGTTCAGCAACCTGGCATACACAAATAGTGAGAACAGCATGCTCACTGGACTTATTCCAGAAAACTGTGATTGGGGATCAGACATTAATGAAAGGCCCCAGATTTTCATGCTATTTGGGCTTCACAATTACAAAGGAACTAAGCATAGGCATGGAGGCTTCATTAGCTTGTAGGTTGGTTGTTTATTCTTTTTCTTTAAGACTTCACCTTCCTATAATATTTATCTACAGAAAGCACATATATTGAAAAGGACTAATAACTAATGAAAAGCAGAGAACAGAAGGATAACCCACAACATATACTCAGGTGTTGGCAACCAGGATAGTTCTACTTACCAGTAGGTTGCTACTGCCCCTCCCTACCACCAACCCCTCTTTCAAAGCACCACATCAGGATTCCTACTTCTCCTCCTTCCTTCCAAGAGCTTTTTGTTTATAACCACCCACTCCAGATGCAAAGAAGTAATCCATTCTCCATTTCTCCTCCCCAGGTACTACACCTCTACTCAAAGAGCAATCCTCATGCTCATGTTTACAGTATTTAGAGACAGAAGAGGCCCTAAAGATTTACAAGTCTTCAATATAATCTTGATGACTTCTTATCGAAAAGTTGTAGAGAGAATTCTCATATGGGTATGGGTTAAACCTGATGGCCTCCAATTCTGAGACAACAATGATACTTTGTTTCTGCTGTGAGATTCAGGTGGAAAGACTCCTGTTGTATGAAACCCTAGCTCCATTCCCACGTTTAAGATATTTCAGATAAACAGTGGATTCAAGACTTAAGCTGAAGATTTCTGAAGCCCAGGTCTAAATCTTGAATGTTACACTTTTGCCTTTGTTAGTATGACTCTGCTATACCCTTTGGAGATGGCCCAAAGGAGATCTTGGAGAAAATTTCTCCACAAGAAGCCACATCAGATAAGTTTCCCCTTCTGGAAAAGTGGATACCTCATGAGTCTAGACACCTCAATAGGACGCCAGCAATCACCATTCTGCCAAGAAACTCACCAGTTCTTCACAGTGTTCGTGTTTTAAGCGTTTAGCAATGTCAAGTGGCGTTTCTCCTGATTCATTGGCTGAAGGTGGAGAGAGAAAGAGGGAGAAAAGTTTGTCACAAAGATTGATGAAAAGGCGACCTACTGGTTTTATAAGAGAACCAATAAAGGAAAACACAAAACTAGTTATTTAAAATAAATTAGAGCAAAGCGTCATTAATTTGGATTGTTAATATAGTATTTGTAGAAATTTAGGTAGAATCTTAGGGGAGGTTTACTTTTGCATCATCTCAGAAAACAGGGTTAATGAATAACATTTTGAAAAGATTATGTCAATTAATTAGCAGAACAAACTATTTTCAAGCATCAGCATAATGATGACAGGCAGCATAGTGTATTGGATGGAGAGCCAGCTTTGGTATTGGGAAGACCTAGGGTTTATGTTCTGCCTCTGATATATGCTGGCTCTAAGACCAAGTGTGGGCAAGGCCCTTCAACTCTCAATGCTTTAGGCAATTACATAAGATATAAATTGCAGAGAAATTGCCAATCAGCACTGGCTAAGGGAGTTTCTTGTACCAAATAAATTACAGGCCTAGACCAAAACAAAATGAAACATAATGTCATTAATTATTTACTTTTTAAAAAATCTTCTACCTATCTGCTATAGCATTTGATTTAGAGAACTTCTTTGGGGCAGCATTTTTAGCACCATTTCAAGTGCTGGGTGTATCACAGAATCATGGAGTTAGAATGGAGCTTCCAAGTGTCATCTAGTTTAACCTGTAGTGTGAATAGAAACAGCCAGGATGTGAAACTAGCTTTTCTCCCACCAAATCCTGTCATCTGTTAGGAAGTAGCAGAACAGGAACAGAGCCCAGGGACTGACCCCAAATCCAATGCTCTTTCCATTATGCTTGGCTGTCTTACTACATAAGGAGACCTAAAAAAGAATTGCTTATATTCTCTTTCAGTGGGTTCTTGGTGGCCCTTCTATCCACAACACAATGAAACTGCATTAATAGTCTATGATGGGAATTTTCTATTCATTCCAACAGGGCTATAAATAGAGAAGAGTGAAATAAAACCTTCAAATAGAATGACACTCATTTCTCCACTTTCTCTACCCTGTGGTAATCAGTTCCTCACACCAGGTTCCCCAAAAGTCATTGAAAAGTAGTTGTGCTACAGAATATCCTATCAATGAAGTTCCAGTGGCCAGGGATCCTATTTAAAACAAATAGCTTCTTTATCTGAGTAGGAGCTGGTCATTAAGAGGATCTGAATGTGAATACTGATAGAAACTTATGGTTTATGAATATATGTGTCAATTTTTCTTGCCAAATACTACCCAAGTTTGCAAAGCTTCTGCATCTTATCCCCTATCCCCCCACCTCAATAAGATTACAAGTATAACCAGGGCACAGTGGAGAGAACACTGGTTCTGGACTCAGAGGACTGGGTTCAGGTTCTGTCTCTGATGCTTATTCTTTGTGACCTTGGGCAATTCCCTTAAGCTTCCCTCCCCCAAACCAGAATCAGCTCTATACCCCCATTTCCCTTTTACCTATTTCAATGGAGGCCTTCCCCCTGAGCAGCAGTTTTAGGCACTCGGCATTGTCCGTCAGGCAACAGTAGTGGAGGGCTGTGCTGCCTTTCCCTGTCTGTTTGTCCAAGTTCCCACTAGCAGAGGGAAGGAGAAGATAGAGGGAGAGAGATGGAATGCTGGTTATCACGAGTCACAGGAAGGCACAGTGACCATATTTTCCAAGCCAAAAATCGGAATGCATAACATCAAAATGGACTTCAGTTTTGGTTTTCTGTCCCCCAAATTGGAACAATGGCATGGGAACAAATATTAGCCCAAAGGGTTTCATGACTAGAAACAATGGATACCAAGTCCATCATACTTGAACACCTAAAGCCACCTGCAACATATACTTATCAATTATGAACATTGTTATAGTTAAATACAGGATCACAGGCTGTAGAGTTGGGAATTTAAAAATCATTTCACCTAACCCAGAGTAAAAAGTGAGGCCCAGACAGGCTAGCTTGGATGCATTTTCATGAGTAATCATGAAATGAAACGGTTTCTTTACCGTCTTACAAAGATACAATGCAGTAGAAAGGGAAGACTCAGGGAGGATGTGATAGCTGTCTTCAACTATCTGATCAGCTGTCATGTGGAAGAAGGACTGGATTTGTTCTGTTGGGCCCAAGAAAGCAAAGCCAGGAGGAATGGACTGCCTCACAAAGAGGCAAATAAACTTAGGCTTGAGATTAGGGGAAAACTTCCTGACTAAAGACTTATCCAAGAGTGGAATGGGGGTGCTTCAAGAGGCAGTGCTTCCTCCTCCTTGGAAGTCTGATCTTCAAGCAGTCTGGATGACTCTGAACTGAGTATGGTATCATGATGACTCCTTTTGGGTATAGATTGGTCTAAATATGTACTGAGGTCCCTTTCAATTCTCAAATTCTATGATTCTGTGTTGGATCAAAGGAGGTAACAAATGGCAGAGCTAGGATTTACATTATACTTCAAGGTTTGCAAAGCTCCTTACAGGAAAAGGAAAAAGAACGGGATTTGGAGTTGGAGGACCTGGGTTCAAATCCTTGCCTATCTACTTATTACCAGCCCATATGTTTTTGCATAAGTTACTTTACCTTTCTCGAACTCGGTTTCTTCATTTGTAAAATGAGGGGGCTGAACCAGATGATTGTATACATGACCTGCTTTTTGATTCTTCTTTTTTTTTTGGTTAGGCAATGGGGTTCAGTGACTTGCCCAGGGTCACACAGCTAGTAAGTGTGATGTGTCTGAGGCCGGATTTGTACTCAGGTCCTCCTGAATCCAGGGCCAGTGCTCTATCCACTGCGCCACCTAGCTTCCCCCCTGCTTTGTGATTCTTAATCTGCTGTGACTTCACTACGATGCTTACTGACTTGAATCATACATTTCCCAGATATGGTCAAAATATTATAATTTCTAGTACTTTTTTATGGGTTTTACAATTAAGGGGGATGTATTTAAAATCAGGGCTGCCCTGGGAGGGGAAAAAAAACTAGGACATATGGTCATCAGACAGAGATTTTCTTGTCTAAAAGGATAACTGATTTCAGGAGGTCTGAATGAGAAAACCAGGAACAAATCCATAGAAAGGATATCCCTGGCAGGAGAAAGAACAACCTACCCTCACTCCCTTGCTTTCTTCTCTAGGGTTTTCAGGCCTTCAAAGCAATTTCACATTCTATCTTATGTGATCCTTTTGAGATGGTCATGACAGGTTACATTATCCCAATTTTAGAAATAAGGAAAGTAAGACACAGAGAAGTTTGTGCATATGTGTATGGGCGGGAGGTTGTGCAGCTGTGTAAAAAAAAATATTTAGCTACTCTAGAGGAGAAGGATATATGTGGCATAACAGAAAAGATTTCCACTGCAAACAGAGGAAAACTAATCTAGTAGCCATCGCTAGACACTGTCAAGTCCAACCCCATTATTTTTACAGAAGATGAAACTCAAGACAAGAGAGGGAAAATGTTCTAGTCATAGAGCATAAAGACACGAAGGAACCTTGGAAATCATGTCAACAGAGAAGGTGGGACCCAAGGCTGGGTCTTCTGACTCCAAGTCCAAGTGTTCCTATGCCTAACTTCCCTGTTCAGCACTGAGGGAAAGCTTTGGATAACTGGCTCCGAGACAACTACTCCTCCCCTACCCCCAAACTCTGACCAACTTCCCCTTCAATTCCTTCTCAGCTGGGATGACTTGAAGGCAATGATTGCTCAAGTTCATTCCAGGGCTATAGTGCAGGGAGAGGGCTAGGATGTAGGGGCAAGTAAGGGCAATACCTCCGGAAATCCCTGTGACTCACTCATTCTCATCAAATAAGAGTAAGAAGGAGGGAGGACTTTTAAAAAGTTATTTGACAAAAACATCCATTATCACAGAAGATCTGTGAGGGGGAGAAAAGGATCACTAATTTCTCCTCAAATGCTTTTTGGACTTATCCGATTCTGCCCACATTGCTGAATAACCACAGACCTTGCAACTTCAAAAATAACATCAAATCTGGTGTAAAGTAAATAATTCTGGATTTGAAATTAGACACAAGTTAGAGCTTGCCTCTCCTCCTTATCGCCTGTATAATCTTGAGAAAGTCATCCCTGTCTCTGGGCCTATCTTTTTCATTTGTAAAATGATGAGTATGGAGTAAGATGAGGTCTCAGGTCTTCAGTGACTCAAAACCCAAGGACACTACAGCTATTGTTCTAAGAATGTTCCAAGAGGAGAATGTATTCTTCTAAGAATGAGCCAAGGACAGAAAGCATTTACATTATGCTTCAAGGTCTGCAAAGCACTTTACCAATGTTATTTCATTGGATCCTCAAAACAAGCCTATGAGGTAGGTGCTGTTATCACCCCCATTTTACAGATGAGTAAACAGGCTGAGAGGTCAAGTAAGTGGTCCAGGTCACACAGTTTCCAATGTCTGAGGTAGAATTTGAATTCAGGTCTTCCTGACTCCAAATTCAACATTCAATCATCATATCACCTAGCTGGATTTGTAGGGATATTTAAAAAGAAAACTTCTCTAAAAGAGGAAAATTCAAGGCACATCTGGTTTGACTCAAGCTTTAGAAATGGTTAAACAAAATGTTAAGACACTCATCACATCTCCCATTCTGACATGGGAAAGTGAAACCCAGCTTCTAATTTGACGTAGGGTAGAGCGAGAATAATGGAAGATAATGGGAGAGGTAAGCTGAAGCTCATTTGGGAAGCAAATACATTTTGCTTGAAAAATAAAACCAAAAAGATCAGAAGATGGCTACACACATTATTCTGTGCCACAAGGAATGGCAGACATAAAGAACACAAAGAAATATAGGGAGACTGCTATGAAGTGATCCAGAATGAAGAAGCAGAATCAGAACCATCTATGAAGAAGTCACTACAGCTATGAATAAAAAAAAATCAGAATAACAACAAAGGCAAAAAAGGCAATTCAATAAGGACACACAGACCAAGGAAGGATATTTATCATGGTTTTGTTCAAATTAAAACACACGCTTTAAAACAAATTACGAATAATTTGGAATTTAGGTTTTTATATAAAACAACAACAGCAAACCCCCCCCCCCCGAAAAACATCCTCTCCCCAACTTTGTAACTTTTCCTTTTGTCTCAGAACCATAAAAAGGAGGACAAAGGAGGATGGTTACTTTCCCCAATGAGAATTTATCACTAGGTATCATTAAACTAAGAAAACCATTCACTCAACAAATAGGTACTGGGCAGCAGACAACTGTGCTACCTTTGTGATTCATAAAATGACTGGAGTTGCAAATTAACCAGGAAATACAAAGTTCTTCTGGGGACATGAGGTTATTTTGTTAAAGACAAACTGTTTGCCAGAGGACAGCTCACTGGCATTTCCACAGGGAAAAGGGGAGAATAGCTCTCACTGATAAAGGATTTTTCAGTTTATAAAGCCCCATTTCCTTATGGCAAAGTCTGTGAAGCAGACAGAACAGGTATGACAGCCCTCACTTTACAGATGAGAAGACTGAGGTTCAGAGAAATAATTCTGAATCATAAAGTGTACAACATTAGAGGCAGAAGGGCCCTTGGAAATCATGTCCAATGCCCTCGTTTTACAAAGGAAGAAACAGAGGTTCTGAGAGTGACTTCTTTAAGGTCACATGTTTACAAGGGGATACAAGGACTCAAATTGTCTTCTGACCTTTCCTTTATGCCATGGTGCCTCTTACGTACAAATTAGACAACTGTTCTTGGAAAAACTAGCTTTAATAAAAAATAAAATGGTACCAGAAAAAAATTGAGACTACTGGCTAAAATGGAACTACTATAGGTTTATATTTGGAATTCAATTATTCCTACTTCCTCTTTCTCCGTTAGCGTCAGCTATATAACAGTTGGCTAGATTAATAAAGATACCCATTTAATCTTCTTGTCTCAGAAACTGGGGGAGGAGAACCAAACTTCAAAACTATTGATTGATACTGCCTTTATTTTTATTCTCTTAAGACTCACTGTTAAGTATTCTACATTTAGCAGTACATTTTTTCTGTCTCAAAGGCTTAGATTTTTAGATCCTAGAAAAACTAATGTCTCTAATGGTGACACAACTAAAATAATGCAGGCCTATCAACCCCCTTTCTGGAACACTGATTCAATCCAATCCAATATGCATTTATTAAGCATGATGACACACTTTGCCTCAGGGATAAGAAAATAATAAATTCTAATGTTTGTACAAGTACATGACAGTTTTCAAAGTGTTTTCATAAACTCATCTGAAATGATCTTCACAACCCAGTCAGGTGGGAAGGGTTAGGGAGGACAATAGGGTTTTTCCCTATTTGACAGAAGGGAAGCCAAGACTCTTAAAGGTTAAGTGACTTGACTCAAGGTCACAAAGCAAGTTACTTCCAGAGCTCAGAATCTCAGCTTTCTGATTTCTAACCCAATGTACAAAATCATAAGAAGTCCTCGTGTGATTGAAGACACTAAGTCCCAGAGAGTCTAAGTGATTTGCCCCAGGTCACAGAGTTAGGATTCAAACTCAGGTCCTCTGACTCCTGATCAAGCTCCTTCCAGTACCCCATGAGGCTGAACCCAAAGGAAAATATTTTTGGTCTTCTGTGCCACCCATATCCCCTATTTTAAAGTTACTTACCTGTTTTGAACTAAGAAGTCTACTATATGAAGGGAAGTTCTATCCACTGATCTGACTGCAAGGTGGAGAGCGGTTTCATCTTGCTCCTATAAAATAGAATAAAGACATATGAAGGCTCTAACCACTGCATATATACTTCTAAAGCCACAATACATACCCCATTAAAAGAGTCAGATCTTCCCAAACAAGTAACAAATACTGACATATTTAGAGTGCTTTAAGGTTTATAAAGAGGTTTCTCCACAAAAGCCTTGTCATTAATCCCTTTAAAGTACTTTCCTGACATGTTCAGATTTCCCTATCAATTTGACTTGGCCCTTGGTAACATCACAAACTCGCCTTGTAGAAATATGAGACTCAAAGTTGCCTCTGTAAAATTAAGGTGTAGGACAGCAAGGTGGCACAGTGGATAGAGTGCTGGACCTAGAGTCAAGAAGACTCCTTTTCATTAGTTCAAATTTGGCCTCAGACACTTCCTAGCTGTGTGACCCCAGACAAGTCACTGAACACTGTTTGCCTCAGTTTTCTCATCTGTAAAATGAGCTGAAGAAGGAAATGGCAGACCATTTTAATGTCTTTGACAAGAAAATGCCAAATGGGGTCACAAAGAGTCACAGACAACTGAAGAACGACTGGATAATCTTTAAAGTCCCTTCTATCTTTAAATTCTATAATACTATGAACAATTTAATGTTAGGGTTCTCTTAATGCACACCCCCCTGTCCCTGGACCTTCTTATGTATGAAACCTTAAAAACAAGACAAGAAATTAGCTATAAGGCCTGACTCTCCATAGAGCTTGGAAGACTCCTTCTCATTTTCCCCAACCCACCACCGTTTCTTGTCTTATTCCTTGTATCAAATTCCTTTATCGGGGATAATGGAATCCTGCCTGGAAAGGATCTAAAGAATCACCTAGTCCCATCCCCACATTTTTTAAAAGAGGAACTGAAACTCAGAGAGGAGGAGTGACTTGTCCAAGGTCAAATAGCCAGTAAATGACTCAGTAAGAATGTTAACCCAAGTCCCCTGACTCTAGAGACCAGCATCAGTGGAAGCGGTTAGAGTCCTCCTGCTTCTCGTTGATGCGTTCACTTGTAAGCTTGATCCACAGAGGGCAGAACATGGCCTTTGTAGCTTGCTGCACTATCCATTGGCAGCTGTGCTTGGTAACAGCTCCATGGAACAAGATGCCCATGTCCTCCCCTCACTGTCTTCCAGCTTCCTTTTATGTGTTATCTTTCCCTCATGAGACTGTGAGCTCCTTGAGGGCAGACTATCTTTTTCTTTTTTGTATTCTCAGCACTTAGCACAGTGCCTGGTATACAGTAGGTGTTTAATGAATGTTTATTGAACTGAAAATACAGTAAAGGCTAATATAAAATAGTAAGCCTAGAACAGGTTCCCCACCTTTGGCCTAGAAGGTACAAGGTTAGTCCATGGCCCTGTATACAAGAGCTTTTTAGAAAGTTTGTTGTATTTTACATCCCTTGAAGCTACTATTACAAAAAAATTCAAACATCACATTCCCAGACTTCAGGCCCCAGCTATAATCCCATCTTTTACAAGAAGCCTTTCCTGAGCCTTCCTTAAAAGGCTAGCACCTTCCCTCTACTGATTATTACCAATTGATCCTGTATGAATCTTGTCCTTACGTGTTTTCTTGTTGTCTCCTCCATTAGATTGTGAGCTTCTTGAAGGCAGGAACTATCTTTTGCCTTTCTTTGTATCCCCAGCTCTTAGCAGAGCTTCTGGCACATAACAGGCCTTTAATAAATTCTTAGCAATTGACTAAGCAACTCATTTTGCTTTAGATAAGGTACTTTCCTAACTATTTCCCACATGAGCAGAGAAAGGGTAACCAGTCATTGAAGAAACATATTTTCGCATCAAGATACCCTCACTGATGTTTTTCATTCCTAACTCTGACCCACGAGTAATGTCAAAAGGTATTGTTGATGTTATCAACCAAGAGAGCACTCTGGGTAGCTATATGGCATGCTAAAATCTGTCAAAGAAAGAAAGGGATTTCTTTAGACTCCTAAGATCTGGAGATGGAAGAGACCTTAGAGATTGAACTTCTAGCTTATCCCTCTTAATTTTACAGATTAAAAAAAAACAAACTGAGACCCAGAGAGGGGGAGGAACCTGATGAAAGTCACAGAGATGAGATCTGAATCAGACATCTGATTCTGAATCCCAGGCTTTTCTACTATCACCACACTGCTTCATCTTGAGCTTCCAAGAATTCACTTTTTACCTCTGAAAGATGAAGAAATGGATTTGCATTATAAATTCCAATGGTATCATTTATCCTAAACCGGGCTGGAAAGAGACGGAAGGAGAATGGTAGATGTATTAAACAGTAATTTCTAGGGAAAGAACTCCAGTTTAAAAGTAAAGACTTCTAAATTATTGAAATGCTATTCAGAGGAAAGGCCTTACTGGGCCTACTCTTGTCCTGACTGGAAGTAAGTCTCATCTTCATAAGCAGTCTAAGCAGTACTGGCAACACCTAGAAGGGGAAGAGATAGGTAACCTGGCTATCTGAGAGGCTTTCCTAAGTACTCCATCCAACAATCCTTAGAGGTTGTGTGGTTGTGGTTTGTTCTTCGTTCTCAATGAGGACTATGACATCACGGAGATGATGCCATGACTAATAACTGAATTGGATTCAAGTGAGGAAGGGCTGTACAAAGTCACCGGCCTCACTTTCTCCTCCAGAGCCATCTGGGTCCAGTGGCCAGATATAAATCAGGATGACTGGAGATGGCCCAGCACAATTCTTAGGGGCCTCATTTGGAGAATATGACATCTTTACAGAACTTTAGTAGGTAGTCTTCCTAATGCTAATAAAAAAATCAAAACTAGACAAGCCATTGCCTTAACTTCCTTCTAAAATAAGAGAACAACAGGGGAACACACAAATTTTATAGTGAACAGCACCTGGAAATACATGTTTTATTCAATTTTGTTAAAGTTCTGAAGAAAACATAAGAAATCTTTATTAGGAATTTGCCACTGCTGGGAACCACTTATGAATTGAGCTCTAATAGCCAAGTTCCTTTCTTTTTCAACTCTTAAGTATTTTCATTACCACAAGATGTACTTTCAAAGCCCAGTGCCATGAAGTACCAATTATCTGTACTGTAGAAAGTGGCTAACACCACACACACACACACACACACACACACACACACACACACACACACACACACACACACGCTCGCGCGCCTCAAGTCAAGGCAGTCCCTAAATGGACATTTTGGTATAGGAGGGCTGAGAGCATGGCTAAGGTTTGACAGATCCTAAATTACCAACAGTGTCAGGACCAATGCTCTCATGGGATACTCTAGCAGGATAAAGGTCCACAAAGGATTTGTTGTAATAGGGTGAGGGGGTGAGATAGGAGAAAACCTGACACTTCTTTCCCATTATGATTCAAACCTGGGAATTAGGTTGGGCCTGCTAAAATTCCTTTGCCATTTCAATGGGACATTATGAATCTGGGCTTCCTGCCCTAATCTTCTTTGCAGTTTGCTGTGTTTCCCTGTAGTGCTAGAGATGGCTGCTTTTCTTCTAAGTGGAGTTGGCAATATACACGGAAAGTTTCCTGGATGCAAAAAGTTAGTGTATACCTGCCAAAAAGCTAAGTGGTACTCTAAAATTCACAGGCTACTTACCTGAAATTGTTTCTTCAAAGGTGGCTTAAGGGTGAAGTGCCCTGAGGTGTCTACTTATTTGTCAGTCAATCAAGAAGCATTTATTAAGTGTTTACTACATGCCAGGCATTGTGTTAAGCACTGGGGATAGAAAGAAGGCAAAAACATTGTCCCTGTCTTCAGGGAAATCACAGCTTGATGGGGGAGACACCATGCAAATAACTACACACACATAAGACACATAAAGTACACGTAGAAGATCATGTCAGTGAGAAGGTACTGGTGGATAAAAGAGAAGAGAGAAACCAAGAAGCAAAAAGAAATTTAAAAAATCCTAACTTGGACTATATTTAACAACCTTTTAAAATGAAAGAAATGATTAATAGCCAATGATTTGGGGAGATTCAGAGTTTCCCCCCTTTTCTATAGGCCTGATTTCAAAATTCAGTCTCTTGAAGGACATTGAGTTAACTTTCTTATCAAGCCTGTTTGGACCCTGCCCAGGTGGGGAAGCCATTGTGCTCTACTCAGGTTTGGGTACTCAAAATTCTTTGAATAGATTGCCCAAGGTGGGGGTGACTTAGAAATAAATGACAATCAATTAGGTCCAGTCCCTCTTGCAATATTCATTCTCTCATTAATTGTTAAACAATCAGAGTTGACTGCTACCCACAGGAACACCCCTCTTCTAAGGACAAATAAGCTGCCAGGATGGTCTTTGGCATTCAAGAGTGCCACTGACTTTTTATTAAAAATGCTGGTAGTATTAATAAACGATTAATTACCCAGAAATTATGTCTCTTGAACTTTTAAAATGCCACAAAAAGAATAAAAATTAATAGACACAAAATATATATTGTTTTTCATTTAAGAAAACATTCCAACTCCCTTCTGCAAAAATCCATATGAAACACTACTTCCTATCACAAAATTTCCATTTCCTTTTTCACACTTCTGATACTCTTTCACCCTGCCATGTCTCTCATTCTCTCTTTTATAAGCAGCAGATGGCTAATAAGTCCTTGTCATTCTTACATGTCCATTGGCGAGAGGGATTTTTTCTGTCAGATCCACACCATCAGCATATACTTGGAGCAATCCAAAGATGTCCCTGGTTTTCACAGCCTCACAAAGGTTATGTAGTTTAGCTGTATTGTCCGTATATTTTTTCCTTGCGTATTTCCTCTCAATGTACTTGGCAGTGATGTAGTCTTTTCTTGCATTCCTGAAATCAAACACAATTGGATTATAAATTTTTAATGACCCCACTCAGATAAATCCTCATACTCATTTAGAGTCAAGTATCAAGAGATTTAAACAAAATTCCCTTCTCAAGGGATGTTAGGCCAGAGGAATTCTGAGAAATGAAGCAAAATATGCAGTTCTTTTATATTTCTTGAATTAATAATAGTCATTATAGCCATGGTGAAGGGCCTGAAATGTGACCATTTTCAATATAGAAAAGAGGCTTAGGTCATAAGATCAGGCACAGAAGACTCATTTGCAGTTTAGCTTTGGAAAAATAGCTGGTGTCCTTTATGCTCTGGTTTCTAGGCCTATAAATGAAGACATATCTATTAGTCCTGTTCACAAGAAAGCTGGACTTGGAATCAGGAAAAATGAGTCCTACTTCTGTCATTTAAAAGTATGAACATGGGCAAATTACATAACTCTTCTGAGTCTAAGCTACCTCATCTATAAAACGGAGATCAAATTTTCAGTAGCCATCTCAGAGTTCTTGAGATTAAAAGGTACTTTGCCAACCTGAAGTAAATGTGATGTAAAGTCACTTATGTATAATGTCCTTTATTATTTACTCCTCCCCTTTATGTAGCTGTTGGACTGATAATGTATATTCTCTCTCTCCTCTTCCCTCCCTCTCTTCCCCAAACTTGGAAGTATGATAATTTTATCTATGTTGGCAATCCCAGAGCTAACACAGAGTGCAAAGGCAGTAACAATTTCTTAGAAAAATCTTAGGACAGTTACTGTGACTGAAGATCTCATCAACCACTGCCATTCCCATAATAAGACTCCCCAAACTTAGCTAGGTTTTTCCTTATTGGTCAGAAAGGCAATCTATTATCTGGCCAATTCTCAAAGCCTGTGCAACTTAGTAGGACGTGCTAAAGGTCGTGGTCACCTGGCACACACATGGTTTGGGAACACATGGTTGACTCTGTACCATGATAACTCACTGGAGGGGGAACTTACTAGAGAAAAACACTTGCGAAATATTTTGTTAACAAAAGAAACAGAAAGGGTTCTTGAATAAACACTAGTGAAATAGTTTCTTTTCCCAAAATTTATATTTCTATCTTTTGTTTATATGTCACTTTCATTTTCAAATATCTCTCTCTTGCTCTCCCCTTCTCACTGAGGCATTCACTATAAAATTATTTTTCAAACGGGAAAAAAATGCAGTTCAGCAAAATTACCCAATACATTAAGTAAATATGACAGATCTAAAAGACCCCTTCAAGAGATTTATCAGCAAGTCACAAGCTTGAACTTTCACTTCAGTCAGTTGAGTAGTAATGACTGAGCAGGCACCTCACAAAGAGGGGGGGAAGGAGAGGAGGAAGATGGATACAAGGAAAAGCAAAACCTCTATCCTGGCCTTCAAGGAGCTCGTATCCTAAAGAGGGAGACATCAACAGCAGCATCACAATAGGAGCTTTTGTGTGAATGGATATGTAAATAAAAAAGATACAGTCTAAATGGGAAGCAGTTTCCAAGGGGAGAGTAGAGGAGGTGACTGGGAAAAGCCTACAGGAGGAGGGATTAAGTGAAGTCTTAAAGAAAGTCAGAGGAACTTAAGAGGAACAGAGGTGAAGAGGGAGACCATTCCAGATGTGGGGCCAGCCAGTGAAAAGTCAATCATGAAATGGAGAGTTATTGGGGAGGAGTAGCAATTAGGATAGTACAGCTGGACAGTAGAGAAAGGTATACAACTGGAAAGGATTCAAGTTTTGAAGGCACTGAAACGCCCATCTTCAGTTATCTCATAGTTCCTGGAGATGGGCAATGACTGGAAGACTTATAAAATAGTGGATATGGCATTAGAGTATCTGGGTTCGAATCTCAACTCTACCCATGAGCAGTACCTGTGTTTGGTTAAGTCAGTTACCTGCTCTAGGCCTCAGTATTCCTATCTTTAAAATGAAGAGACTATATTAGGTGATGTCTAAGATCCATTCAAGTTCTAAATCCTGTGAAATCCTGTCTTGGAAGACAAATGAAATCTGGTCTGCTTTCTCTTTAAAGTTTAAACACTACCCATCTTCAAAATTTCTCTCCCTCCAGTATCCATCTATGTTAAGATTTTCCCTACTGCACAGTTAATCACCCAGTTCTTATATGAAATATGGGTAGATAAAAGGGTCAGTCCTTCTATAAAAGAGTAAATCCCACTTTTCCCAATACAGCAAGTGGACCATTATTCACTCATCTTCTATTAACAGAGTATATGCTATTCCAATTAGGAGTTGTTGGTTTTTTGTTTTTTGTTTTTTTTTTGGAGGGGGGAAGGTATTTGACCAAAACAAATCGTCTCTGCTTTCAAGAGAGAGTGCTAAGCCTCTCTTCTCTGTTCATTCTCATTCACTTGTCATAAGTGGCTCAGATACTTGGTGACAGAGGACTTGGGTTCTTATAATGAACTTTACCCTCAGAACTCTCAGGGCCCTTTATTTGCAATTCCCTTATGCACATATCACATTGAATTCTATATTCATTATCTGTACATGTCACATCCCTCAACTAGATTCTAAACTCCAAAAGGGTAGGAACCACTGTCTCATCTAGCCTTTGAATCTCCTTCAGAGACTAGAACAGAGACTTGCACACAGCAGGTCCTTTACAAATGTTTGCTGAATGAATGGATAAGCAATCCCAACTTTTCCAGGTTAGTGTTGGCCCCAAAGTCATAGATTAAAATTCAGTCCTTGAATGTGCAACCACTTGAAGGAATCTTTTAAGCTGCTCAAAGGGAGTCTGAATCATCTGGAGTCTCTGCATTGTCTTCTTCCAGGGCCCTTACATTAAAGCCAGTCCAGAGCCACAGCAGCATTGCTGAAAGTAAACTGGACTTCCTGGAGTCAAAAGACATGCCAAATGGCCCTGGATTTTTTTTAAGCATTTGCCAGGCCACAAAATTGCTTGCACTTGCTTCAGTGTTTGCCAGAAGAAAATTATCTACAAGAATGGCTTGCCCAGCTGGAAAAGAAAATTATTTTAATAGCATGGCTAAAATGAGTTTGCAACCTTAATTCCCAAGTGCTGGACAAAACCTTTGGGAAGTTTTCAGTCTTCCCAGTCCTGAAAGCACAATGTGTTCCAACAAACGGCTCTTCTCTACCAGGTTCTCTCTTAAATGTACCACATTTCATAATTCAGTACTACCCTTCCTTTTTATCTCTCTCACCTCCTAATCAAGGTATCTCTAGGTTGTAATCCTGTCTTCTGCTCTTCACTAAAGGAAGGTTTTCAACTTAACTCATTCTCATGGGTTTTAACTATTTATTAATACCTATGCCCAAAACAGGGCTTCTTAACATGGGGTCTGTAAAGCTAGTTTTAAAAAAAATATGTTGATAACGCAATTTCAATATAGTTGGCTTCCTTTGAAATCTTATGTATTTTGTGCATTTAAAAACATCATTCTGAGAAGGGGTCCATAAGGTTCACCAGACTGTCAAAAGGATCCATGACACAAGAAAATTAAGAACCCCTGCTCTAAATGGATGAGTCCTAAATCCAACTCTCATCTAAGCAACAGATCCACTTTTTGGGGGTTTATTTTATTTTTAATGTATGGAATAAAACAAGTATTTCCATAACAAGGTATAATTAAAAAGGTGATTGCACATGAAACTGCAAATCTATTATATACAACTTGCTATTCCTTTTAAATATATAATAAAGTTATGTAAATTTTGGGTTTTTTTCCCTTTTTTCCCCTCCCCCCTGCCCTAGATATGGCTACCACTGGACACAAATATGTATGTGTGTGTGTGTGTGTGTGTGTGTGTGTGTGTATGTATATATATATATATACATATATATATATATACATATATATATGTAAAATCATTCTATACATATTTCTATTTATCAGTTCTTTCTTTGGATGCAGATAGCATCTTCCTTCATGTGTCCTTTGTAGTACATTTGGAAATTTGTAATATGACTTATTCACTCAAAGTTGTTCTTAAAACAATATTGCTGTTATTATCTACAATGTTCTCTTGGTTCTGCTCATTTTGCTCTAATTTCCTACAAGGTAATTTTAAGTTCAACTAATCTCAACTGGTCTCAAAAATCTCTACGATATCTTTTAATACTCTTTTCTACGCCTGCTTCCTCATCTAGTTATCCTAACCTAGCAACTCTGTTTTACAAGAGACACTCTTCCTAAGATCTTTTCTTTTCATTCTCATGACCACCATCTTATTTTAGGTTCTTATTGCTTCATACCTGGATTATTTCAAGAGCATCCTAGCTGGTGCCACCTCCTCCCCAACCCCTAATTAATCTTACACGTTGCTGCCAAATTAATCTTCCTGTCACGGTAATTTTATCATGTCACTTCCTTGCTCAATAGCTTTTTATTGGACAGTATAAAGTTCAAATGTTATAATTTCACACTGAATGAAGGCCCTCAGAACCTGACTTCCAAAATGTATGAAGCATGCACGTAATATTCTTTTATTTTTCAAGGGACATCACCTTCTGACCTCTTGAGGGTACAGACCAGGTTAATACATATTTTTAAAAATCCTCTACGATTCCTGCCTGGCAAAGAACATATGGCACGAACTCAGTAAATGTTGTGTTTAACGGTATAGTGGATAGAGTGCTGAGCCTGAAGTCAGTAAGACTCATTTTCCTAAGTTCAAATCTGGCCTCAGATACTTACTAGCTGTGTGACCCTAGGCATGCCACTTAACACTGTTTGCCTCAGTTCCTCATATGTGAAATGAGCTGGAGAAGGAAATAGCAAACCACTCCAGTATCTCTGTCAAGAAAACTCCAAATGAGATGAAGAATTGGATACAATTGAAACAACTGAACAGTTAACATTTATTGACTGACTGATCTATATACTACATGAAGCAGACCCGATGATACTCAGAATTCTAAGTGCTGGGAACTCACATGAGATAACTGGATTTGAATAAGGTTGTTCACCAGGTTGCTGTTATTGTATAATAATGGCCAGAG